AGAGTTTTGGGGAGATTCTGAGAAGACAGGAGCTAGTGTAAACTAACTCTTATTTAATCATTTTGAACTAATTCCTCCTTGGGGGATAGCAGTTGTTTTTTATTTACCCATTTTTGTATTTTGATTTTGTAATAAACCTTTTTTGAAAAAGAAACATAATCCTGATTCTTTCAGGTTTTCTCTAAAGCTTCACGTTTGGAGCCCTGGCCATAAATTGCACAGAGGTAAGCATATCGATCATCGGTCCCTGAATTATCAGGACTTACTTTACAGTTTATAATAGAATAATATAAAGAAACCTTAAGATAAGGGAAGTTTTAACTTCCCCCTCCTTGCGAGTAACGAGTTGTCTTAAGGGCGATAAAAACAGGATATTAGAGGTTATTTTGGCTCTGATTGCAGGTTGAAAAAGTCTCTAATCAGCTGGAAGGTTGGATTAATAAATAAATTGATAAAATTATGATAGCCTGATCAACTAGCATAAATCATTTTATAGTTACCAACCTCCCACATAAGCTGTTAGAGGCGCAATTAATTCCGGGTAATCCAAACAATTGCTGAGAGGCTTGGCTTGCCTCCAGACTTCTCTCTAGTATCTTAACCAAAAGGTAACGAGTTTAAAAGAAGTGGAGAACTCTGAGGCTGGCTATTCGTACAAGTCATTTCACCTTTAAAATAAAAGACAAGATTCTAATTAGATGGTCCAAACCCGGGTCTAGTACAATTATACTCGCCGACACCCCCACTCGAACCCTGATGGATGCACCGTCTCATAAGTTCTAACGGAACTGGGTTTTAAAGGAACCGGTAAATGGGACGGGCACGCGACACCTGTACATCAAATTCCTCATTATGGCTTGGAAGGTCCTGACATGAGCGTTACAAAATAAAAGACTTGCACTACAGGACCGAGGCTTCCTTAGCAGAGTCCTAAATGCATCGTTGTAGGCTACTTTAAGCTTATGCAAGCTGGCTTTCCTATACTTACACCACAAAGGTGCAGTATACAAAGGTGTGCAGTAGGTTCTAAAGAGGTGGATTTTTATTTTATCAGAACACGTGTGGAATTTCCTGACCGAAATATTGGCTTGGGCATACAAAGCGCGACATTGCCGGTAAATGTCGTCATCGTCACAGAGCTGATCTGTGATGATGTGACCCAAATATTTAGCTTTGTCACTGACACTTATCTTCTTTTTGACCAAGTAGAAGCCTGGGAAACAAAGATCCTTATCCCCTTTGGTTCGACAAATCAGCACAACACTCTTTTTTTGCATTAAACTGCACATCGTACTTCAGCCCATATTCTGAGCATGTGTTTAGCAGCTGCTGAAAACCAGCACTGCTGGGCGAAATGATGGCCAAGTCATCAGCATACATGAGATGATTAATCAGATTGTTACCAATCATACATCCAGTTTTACATTTCTTGAGTTGATTTGACAAATCATCCATGTGGAAGTTGAACAGAGCAGGTGACAGTGGCCCTCCCTGACGCACCCCGTTGTTAACACCAAAGGGGGCTGATGTGGTATTGTCCCATTTAACTTGCATTGTCTGATTAGAATACCAGTATGCCAAAATCCTCACAATGCTATCAGGGACACCTCTTTCACTTAATTTACAAAAAAGCTTAGAGTGGTTGACCCGATCAAATGCCTTAGGTGCATCAATAAACCCCATCATCACTGAGGAGTTCTGTCTCAAATAAAGATGAGATGCTTCCTTCAGACCATAGATACACAGCTCTGTTCCCAGCTTGGATGTAAAACCAAACTGGTGGTGTGTCGTCGTTATTTATTGAGAAAGTCGATAAAGCAATATCTTTTCCAGTACCTTAGAAATAACACTAGCTAAGGCTATTGACCTGTAGTTATCCAGGCTCCCAACTTTACCAGCTTTGTTTTTGATGACAGGCACTAGGGTAACAGACAGTAAAGAGTCAGGCAGCAGACCATGGGTCATGAACCCAAGCAAAGGGCTAGGAGTACAGCAATCCTGGAGCTTGCAAACTTCAAATGTTCTGCTGAGATGTTATCTGAGCCTGTTGCCTTGTTGTTAGACAAGTGTGTTATGGTTTGTCGCACCTCACAAGGAGTGATAATCACTGTTTCCCTGCTAGTAATATTTCCTACCTTGTATGGCTCACCTTTGACACAGTTATACAAGTCAAAGTAGTGCCGTCTCCATAACTCTGCTATTTTATCAGCCCCAGAGACTCCCTCTATGGCACTGGGCAGTGCAGTATTAGTCCTGTTCAGAGTCCTCACCTCATTCCAGAAGCCCCTCACATTATTAGACAAAAGCTTTTCAGCCATAGAGTCCGCTCTCAAGTTCTGTTCATTTTTTTATAATGTAGCGAATGTCATATTTATACCTCGCTCTGGTAAGCTTTTTATATTCCAGGATCGGCCCTGCTCCGGGTCTTCCTGCTTGGATCCATGCCTGATGTGCTAGCTTAGCTTCTGCTTGATGTGTCGCCACATACTTGTTCCATCCTGGCTTGATGTTTTTAGCCTTCACACATGTAAAGTATGAGCTACTGCAATCATAAATAGCATCAATAATACCTTCATACATTGTACAGAGGTCCTTATAGTGAGCTATATCATTACAGTTGAGACCTGTACACATAATTACATGTCTGGGTATGTGTACCTTACTCAAAGCAGTATCAGATTTCAAGCAATATGCCTCAAGATTCTCTTGTGAGAGTTTGGACCATTCCATCATAACTTTGTAGCCCTTGTTTACTTTTGTAATTACCTCTGGAAGACCTCCGACTTCCAGCTGCATAACAAGCGGCACATGATCAGACACAGAGTAGCTGTACATGATCTGCATAGATTTCAATCTAGCATGGAGTACTGATGCAATGATCCAGCCATGACGTAGTGTTCCATGCTTCACTTATATAAGTAAAGGTATCAGGTGGTAACAATAGCTGGCTAGTCAAAATAAGATCGTTATCCTCACAGAACTGCAACATATGCTTAGCAAACACAGACCGACTGTATGTGATGTCAGCATTCAAGTCACCTACCACACAAATAGCTGCGGAATGATGCTGGATTGTGTTTAAAAAAACAACCTGTTTAAGACAAAACAATGCACTGTGTTTATGTGTGTGAAAAGAAATCAAGGTCTAAAATCACAGACGTTTCACTCTTTCCTGGAGTAGCCGAGCATCAAGGGATTCCTCATAAATGCTGTAAACAAACTTTTGATGGTGGCAGATGTTTTCAGACACTAGGTGGCAGCCAGAGAGCACACAGTGGCTTTACTGAGCGGTCAGAAAAGCACAGAGAAGCTAAATCTAATGTGCAAACCCATTAAGCTCATTACGGCTGCTCCGTAAATATCCAGCTTTTGTGATACAACTTTATTCTGCTCACACACCAACACCCCGACCAGCTCACGCAAGTCTTCTCATCCTGATAAAACATTTAAAGAGAAGCTGGTTGTATTTAAAACCACTTTTTTACTCATTAATTATTCCGCACAGAAAAAAGCGTTAAAGCTCTGGTTAGGGTGACCAGTCCCGCATTTTCATCACTTTTCTCTCGTCCCGCAAACTGCGACTTAAGTCCCGCTTTGTTGACGGTCTCACGTTTCAAGTTTCGTCCCCAGAAGACCGAAAAAATGAATGCAAGTCAACGAGGATAAATAAACTATTTTCTAATCTGCTTTGCCTTACGCCCTGGATCACACATATGTTGTACTTATATTTAAATGAAAACTAATGATGTGTGTCTCAACCACACTTGTCACGTACTTTGAGATTTATCAGCTTGCAAAAGTTCGTAATTAGCATGACTAAAAACCAGACATTGGCACGTAGCATATATGACGTCACCACATAATCGCTTCTCTAGAGTAGCTACTACGTCCCACATGACCAGATTTCTGGTGGTTCTTTCCTTCTGAAGGAAGGATTTGAAATTAGCTGAACTCACAGCCATTGTCCCTCTGTTTTTCTCCGTGTCTGGTTCGATGACGTCACTTTTGTGAAGGTCATTTGTAGTCCTGGACCTATTTTCACACAAAACCTAAAATATTGTTCCCCCTGTTCGAAAATAAGCGCTTTCTTGGTATCAAAATGCGTCTTTAAAATTCACGGGCATCATATGTGAAATCCATGGCACAAAACAAGTGGAATTAGAAATAGCGTTTTTAGCCCCGTTGACTTGCATTCATTCTTTCGTTCTTCCGGGGACCCGTGGTTCGTAAGTAGATGGGTTTATGTTCCCTATGTCCAAAGAGCCCGAGTTAAGCTGTGGTAAAAGGAGAGGAACTGTGAAATAGTCGGAAAGTTTTTTTCTATTTGCTTGTTCCAGTTGAATTCAAAAAGAATAAATAGTACATGAAATATATGATAATAATTGTACGTATATTTATATATATTTTTGAGTTGCATTAGAATTTGACATTGTCCCACATTTGGCGAGTTGGGATCTGGTCACCCTAGCTCTGGTCATGCACTCGTTAATCCTAAACTTCAGAGAACAGGAGCAATGCCACACCTAAATGTGGTAGATGTAACTATTTAAAATCGTGCATTTTGCTTTTATTCAGATTTCAGCCCACGGTTTGATCTTGTCTTAAAAAGACCAGGATGACCCTTGACTTTGGTGCTTCAAGTATCAGTTACATGAAGCCAACTTGTTTCTTATAAACTCTCTTTGCTGTGCGCTACGTGGTCCTTCATCACTACTGACATACTTCTCGCTTTAACTATTTCTAAATTATTTTGGTAAATTTAAAAAAGACAATTCTATGAGAACATAACTCATTTGCAAACACTGACTGTGTGTCACACCAGCCATGTGTAGAGTATCAATAGTTACATCTTACGTAGGAAACCATCAAAGTGAGATTCCATAGAAAATATGAAATCATTTTGATGTATCTTTGAATACTACCTTTAATCAGAAGATCCAAACTTCCGAACAGGGATTCTAAAAAAACTGTACATTTATTCAGTTAGCTTCGTGTCTCACCTCTTCCAGTGTGCTGTCTGACAGGCCGTAGCTGAGGAGGCCCAGGTCAGGAAGCTTCTGGTCCAGTTTGGACAGGAAGATCGCCAGGCTGCCGTCTTTAGCAGCTGTCTGTGGAAGGTTGATCACTGCTTCTCTTCTCGACTCTTCCACTAACCTCGCACCAGGGATGTGCTGCTGAACCAGAGCGAGCAAAGCTGCCAGATCTACAACACAAAGCATGTGAGTCTCACAGTTTCTTTAACAAAGTGTGAATAATTTTGTGTGTGAAAAATTTTGTCCTTTTGGGAGAATTTTGGGAGAATTTAACACTCGTTTATGACCTACCGGTGCTGCTGTCTTCACTTCCCAGTCCAGTGTCTTCACTCAGAGAGGACTCGCTGTCCTAAAACAAACAGCGAAGTTGGCAAGGATGCAATTAAAAACCCCTTTTTTGAAACTGAATCTGTAAAATTACAAGCTCACTTTTACAAAAGAAGGCTGCTTGCTAGTGTTGGTGCTGAGACTGGAATTACTGGGATTGCTGGAGCTCATTCCTTCCCTCTTCACCACAGTCAGGTAGTAGCCAGATCCCAGCCGAGATTTCAGGAAGAGCGGCGATCCACAGCAGCACAGCTTCCCCTTGGAGATTATGGCAATCCGGTCCCCTAACATCTCCGCCTCGTCCATGTAGTGAGTAGACAGAATGATGGTTCGGTCTGATGAAGAACAGAAAAAAAAACGACTGTAAATCATCTAATAATTAATCATTTTTAATTAGTTAAAAAAAGGAAAGCTACATTTCCTTTTCAGTCGTTACACTTGGTACACACATCAGTCTGGAGATTATGCCCCCCTGCATGACCAACCTGAAGATGTTACTTTCGGTTACGACTGCTAAGGCCAATGAGATTGTTACAGCATCAGAAGTTTCCTCCGACTGAGTATAAACACGAAGCACAGCCTCATTTTCTCAATCTTTTAAAATTCCTCCTCACCTACCCTGAATAGGAGACCCCTTCTGTGTTAACAGTCAACCTGAAAAACCTCAAACCATCTACAGAGCAGAAGGCTGAAGCCACAGAGGACACAGGCATCTCTCACTACTTCTGTACAGTTTCTCCAAAGATGGGTCAGAACAGGGGTGTAGCTCTTCCACCACCCAAGTCTATTTATTAGCTATATCGGCCTGTCATGTCAGCTGGGACAGGTGATCTCTACCCTCACATCCTCCTTGTGCTATGGTTCGTGAGAGAGGAGCATCATCCTTCTGACCTCCCTGCAGGTGCGCTGACTGATAGGTAACTTTAAATGATGTACATACCTTTCTGAAGTTTGTGACAGTTTAACATGTAATTTTATCTTATCAGACAATATAATGAGATTCAACACCTTTGCGGTACTTAAGCAGGAGATCCCAGATCCCTCTGCGGGAGTAGGGGTCAACACCAGCAGTGGGTTCATCCAGAACCACCACTTTAGAGCCTCCGATGAACGCTATCGCCACAGACAGCTTTCTCTGCATGCCACCTGACAAAAAACAACAATAAAAAAAAACAGAAACTGTTAAATGCAAAAGCTTTTGACACAAATTAAGAACGTACTGTAATTTTAACTAAAGATCTTGAGATCATTTGTACTTTTAATGTTGGTACTGTTCTTTTTGTAGTAAGAATAATTAAACTAACTTACTAGATTTTATTTTGTGTGACTTATAAATGTTTTGCCATTTTCAATAAACTGTAAAGAGAGTAGCTGTCAAGTTTTTGACAGCTAACGGGGATCTAAACAATAAACAACACATTTAAAGCTACAATGGCAAATCTGCAAAACATCACAATCACAGAACTGTCACTCATCACTAGGCCACGCCCCCAATTCCAGAACCTGCATTACCACAATAAACAAGAGGGCACCAATCACAGTTTTCTAGGTCCAAACGCATTTTGTTGTTTGTGATTTCAAATGGGAGTTTTCCTTTTTGGGACTCTGGTAGTTTGTCCTAAATTTGAAGTGGTAGCAGCTGGCTGTATCTCCTTCTCTGATCTTATTAGAACGGAGAACCTCTCACATCAGTGGTGTTCTGTTGCAAAATGCACAAACGTGCAATGAATGGAGGAACCGGGGAAGTGCGGCGGCTCAGTGAGACAAACAACCGGATGGTCCGATAGTTGCTTTCAGTCTGAGGCGTGTTATTGGCGAGGTTTTTATATAACTGCCAGAGAACCACTCCATTTATTTATTTATCTCCACAATATATTTATAGCTATACAGAGACGCATGAATAAAATATTCTAAGCTAGCTTGTTTTGCAGATTTACCATTGCATCTTTGAACTAGCAACTTTACCAGAGAGGTTTTTGGTCAGATCGTGCCGTTTGTGTAGTAGACCGACATCCTGAAGCAAAATGCCGAGTTCAGCTTTCACGGTTTCTTCAGACAGGCCCTTCAGACACCCGTAAAACCACACATGCTCCTCTACTGTGAGCCTGATGGAGGGAGGCACAGATAAAGCAGAACAATACAAACTATTCATTTATGCAGTTGCTTTCAAAATTACATTTTTAATAACTTGAACTTTTCCCTTAAATGTACATTTCATCACCAATAACAGCAAAACATGTTCCTGTCAATCAAAAAAAAAAATTGTTGAAGAAGCATCTTAAAGAAAAAAAGAAAACAACAACAAAATTAAATCTTTAACTAATAAATTGTCATTATCATTATTATTTGTATTAGTATTTTATGATGCATTTTGAAGCTTACATGTCAAACAGGACATTGTGCTGTGGACACACCCCCAGCGTCTTCCTGATGATGTCCATGTCATAACGGATATCCATGCCTTTGATGTACACAGTCCCAGAGGTAGGCGGGAAGAGACCAGTCAGGACGGATCTGACATACATCAGAAACATGAAACATCTGGCTTGCTTATTTTACCCAAACAAGACATGATATCATGTAGACGAAGAGCAGGGGATCCACACAAATCTAAAGGTAACTCACATGGTGGTGGTTTTCCCGGCTCCGTTGTGGCCGAGAAAAGAGGTGATCTGTCCCTCGTAGAACTTCAGGTTAAGATGGTTGACAGCGAGTTTCCCTCCTTTCTTGTAGATTTTCACCAAATTTCTGATGTTCACTCCCAAGTTCAAGCTATTGGGATCTGGTTCAATGTGATCTAATCACAGATATGAATAGACAACATAAGAACTGTTACAAGTTTGAGAATAATCCTCTAGATCAAATTAAAATGTGAATATTATAAACACAGCTGGTAAAGCGCAGCAGCATCTTGTACCTTCATCTTGGTCTGTGGGTGCTGGCGGGATTGGCATCCCTGCTTCAAGAGGAACTCCGCCCCAGTAGTTGAGTTGAAAGATGAAGTACCAGGGCCTTGGGATCCCATATTCTCCTGGTGTGAAGAAACAAACATCAGTGAAGCCTACACAGAAAAAGGCCATAAAAATCAAACTCTTTCTGTCATACCAGGAAAAACTGCTTCGATGTACCAGGCTGCTACAGCATAGATGAAGGCATCCACGTAAAGCATGATTATAGAGACGAAGAAGTTGTATTTGTCTCCTTCAACGGGGCTGCCTCGCAGGTTGTACCACTGGATTCCCACTCCTTGCTCCTCATACTGAGCAAAGTACTCACAGCCAAACCCAAAGGCCACAGGGGACAGCAAACTCTACCAGAAACAAAACATTATTAACCTAATAACTATTAACCCCCCACCCATTACTCTAAATGATGTTGATCCTTTAAAGAGCAAGTCACCCCCTACCAGATTCTTACTCCACTCCCACTTCCTGTTTGAAAAATGCAACAAATGCTGCTGCCTGGTAGACCGAGAGGGCGGAGCCGCTAACAAATACACACACAGACTCACAACAACATTGCAACACCATAATGTACCAGTTAACGTCATACATAGTGTACCTCTTAGCCAATAGCGATGGCAGATTGTAATTCAAATGCAGTGCAGAGTTTTTACCTGAAGAGGGCGCAACACTGACAGTTTTATGCAGAATATTTCAATTTTAACTAAGATGCACTAAAGTGCCAAATTTTTGACTACACATGTCTACAGCACGATTAGACACTCGTTTATATAGTTTATCAACAAAAACATATATTTGGGGTGACTTGCTCTTTAAGAGACTGGAACTTCTCAAAAAGTAGCAGATTCAGGTTTTTCTTGATGGAAAATAAAAATGACCATTACCTAACTGTACTTAGGGCATTTTCAAACTATTATTTTATTCTTTTTTTGCTTACAAATAATATTCTGTGTGTGGAATTGAGATAGTCTCTCCAGGCGACACACAGTACATAAGGCAGGTACAAGCTGAAGTAGATGAGCCCTCCACAGGCAGCAGACAGGTTGGCCTTGGAGAAGAAGGTGCTGATGAGGAAACACTGCATGATGGTGGCTGTGGCAAACGCCACGAGGAAGAAGAAGACAACAGCTGGGTTGCTGTATGGTAATATATCACCCCACTAAGAAAATGGAAAAGAAGAAAAGCAGGACATTAGAAACGAGTCATTCAGAATTAGCACGTAAAACATGTTCTATTATGACTAATTAAGTTTACTAATTATTAGATAATTTGTGTACCAGGATTTAGAGTTGTCAAAAATCTGATGGCCTGATAATTATTTATTCACACTCCCTGTCGATGTTACCTTCAGCACACCAATAAGAAGAGACGCAGACACCATGAAAGGAACAATGCTGCTGATGAACCAGCTGAGCCACAGCGTTCCCGTACCGAGACCCATAATCCTCATTGTTTCCTTCAGCCTCGCCTCCTTCTCGTGCACCACGCCTTTGATGATCATGGCCACCGAGTAGATCCAGGCCAGGGTCATGAAGAGAGGTAGGGAGCGGTTCAAGACACGAAGAAAACTGTTGAAGCCAGAAAAAAAAGTTTCATTAAAAAAAGATGGAATGCAAACAAAACACAGCTAAAGCTTAATAAACAGTTAAGAATCAGTCTCAACTATCGTAACTAAATAAAATAGATATTGATAAAGGGGAACTGGGCAGAATTGGCTTGCTTTTAGCACCCCTAGTATCCGTTTGTAGAACCAAAAGCAAAACCTATCTCCTCGCTGTTCGTTCGTCTTTATAACACCTTAATCTAACAGCTGAAATGTCTCCCCAGTCTTCCTTAGTGTCTACAGAAGTGACTCACCATTTAATTAAACAAAGTCTCAACAGATGGTTTCCTCTGACTTTGACGTTTGCTGTTTTCGTCTTATATTACTAAATTCACCAGTTTTTAAAATCTATTATGATCAAAGATGGCAAACAGAAACAAAAACAGCTTGTTCGGAACAACTGCCTATTACTAACTTATATCAGAATCATACAGCAACCCCCTATCACATTCACATTCAGACTGTTCACAAAGAATCCAACAAGAACATTTACTCACATATCATCCACATAACAGGGGTACGGCATTTGCTGGATGTAGATACCAGTGGTCTGTTTAACTCCAGTTAGAACATAGTTCACAGCTCTCTCCACCAAGTCCTGAATATAAACAAAACCACCCCGAATGTAGCGCATGTCGTTGAACGGGTCTGCAGATGGGCCCGGATCCCAAAACCTGGAGAAGACAAAACTCATTTTACCAGCTTGGATGTTTAAAATGAATTGCTGGATAAAAAAGAATGTCCTTGTTGATAACCAGCTCAGTGGTCTAGTGGTAGAGTGTCCGCCCTGAGACTGGGAGATCAGGGGTTCGATTCCTGGTCGGGTCATACCAAAGACTTTGAAAAAATGGGACCCAGTGCCTCCCTGCTTGACACTCAGCATTAAGGGGTTGGATTGGGGGGTTAAACCACCAAATAGTTCCCGAGCGCGGCTGTGTCTGCAGCTCACCGCTCCCCCAGGGGATGGGTCAAATGCGGAGAACAAATTTCGCACACACATCAGTGTGTGTGACAACTGATGGGACTTTAACTTTAAATAAAAATGATTTAAAAAAAAGGATCCATAATCTTAAAATTAAATAACCGTTAAAACCAAAAACCAAGAAGAGCTGCCTTTGGAAATCAAACAAAATGGTCGAATGTGAATTCTAACACAAGTAGACAAACTTTCAGACATATGAATACTCAGTACTTGTCCTTCAGCTTGTTGGTTCGGGTCACATCATCAATGTCCATTCGGATCTTGTAGGCGACATGAGGAGGTAGCTCAGATGTGGACGTGTTGGGAAGCTGGAAAACCACACCAGCCCAAAACTTCTTGTCCTCCAGCAGCTCCAATGCTCTGTTGATCAGCTGACCCTCCGTATCCATCCCTTCCAGTTTGTCCAGATTGAAACACTGAAGAAGACCACAAGATCATAAACATCAAGGAGGACTTTACAAATTAATAAAAAACAGGAAATAAGGGGTTTTACACTTTGTAATAAAGTAACAAAAATAGAGAACCTTGGTAATTTGTACGAGAGTCACGATTGTGTTCTCTGTGTCGTTGTAGACGTCTGTCCATGTAGGCGGAGCTTCGCGTTTCTTTGGATTGTCTGGTGAGGGAGTTGACAGGAAATGAGCGATCTGTGAAGCTGTCCAGGTTGAGTTTTCCAAACGCATATTAACCAGAACAGCAATTTCAGGACGCCGCAACAGATCCTGTCACACACACAGGCAAAACATGTTTTACTCTACTGTAAGCACCCAATGTATCAGAACCATGTAGAGAAATTCTGTCAACGAATCCCACCTGCAGCATTCTGATCTCCACACTGGTCTCCATGTAGTTCTTAATCTCTGGTCCCACCTCCTTCCAAGCTTCATGCAGATCCTGAAGAATCTGCAGGTCTTCAAATGTCCTGTTCAGCTTCAGCAAACACAGCTTAAAGTTAGCTTAAACGGGGTATATCCCATAAAAATAAGACACCTTTGGTTAATCTGAACAGGAAGTCTGACGTGAACAGAAGAGAGCTGAGTTTTGACTTGCTGTACCTCTTTCATGACTCGTTGTGTGACAGGAGTGTCTGGTGTGTACAGGAGCTTTCCTTTAAACAGCGGCTTGATTCCTCGCCACATAATGCGAGACAGCGGGTTGGACTCCAGACTGTAGATCAAATTCCTACAGAATGGTGCTGCAGAAGACAAAGAATCAACCAAACAGGACCCACATTAACCAAAACACTATAACACAATTGGGATGTGATGTGCCTGTTGAAGGTGATGTGCAGCCAATCAGAAAGCGAGATGACAGAAGTAAGCTGTACTCTCCTCCTCTGCCATGTTTGTTTACTCTGAAGTCCTATTTGATCTCTGGAGTTTTTATGAGATTTTGTGCCTGACAGGGCAAGTTTCTGTGTGAAATCAGTACACGATGTTGCTGCACACCACACACTGTAGGACCAAAATTATGAAAGAGGTTGTTCACTCATATTTTTAACACATCTGCAGTGGTCTTGCAAGTTGCACTCTAGGGAAAAAAAACCCACAGTGCACCTGTTGCAGCACGGAGAATTCAGCCAGAGGAGAAAGTAGCTTCAGACGACAGAATTTGGAATCTTATTTACTGATATTTGGACATCGCATCTCAGACTGACTAACAGCAGCATCTACCACTGACTTCATTTGATCTGCAACATGGATGTTTTATCTTCATTAATAACACAAGCTTGAAGGAGTTATGCCTGGTTGTGGAGATGCTAACGCTAACAGTTAGCTTCTGCTGTGAGACGTCAAAACCTTTTCTGCTGTTTCCTGGATGCTAAACCAACAACAGCCGTCCCTGTCGCAAGCCAGTATGGGTGAGTCCATGAGACAGTTTGATGTAGATCTATTTTTCACCATCTACTTTCTATCAGAAGCTAATACAGGAAATAGGGGTAGAACACACCTGCATGTTGAACTCAGAGTGACCAATCATCTTAAAAAATAACAAGTAAAAGTCGGTCTCTCAGTGAAGGATCTCTTTAAAGTCATGATTTTAATTTTGCCAGTTTTTGGGTCACTCATGTTTTGAAAACAGTCAGACAGTGTTAAAACCCAGCTGTGTGTACTGGGGCTAAAAGGTGAACAGGACTCTATCAAAGACCTCCTATGAAACTGTGGTAGCATCAGCCATCTTTGATGCTGGGCTCTGCTGAATTTCAGAGAGGGACGAGGGGAAACTAAACAGAGAGTCGGTTCTGGACTGGACTTTCTACTGAGCTCCATTGAGCAGGTAAGGAATAAGAGGACGTTGTCCCAGCGGACACCCATCAGGTACAACACCTACCATCTCCTAATTAAGACAATATGAGCACTGAGCAGCACATGCAGCAGGAGACTTTTACACTAACAATGTAAAAGGGAGGCAGCACTAGACTTTTCACAGAAGTTCAACACGGTTGAGCTCTTTATGATGTTCTGACTTAATTATTTGCCCTTTTTCAGCTGCTTATGTATACAGAAACATTTTTGTAAACAAACAAGTGACTTGTTCTTCTCCTAAACTCCTTGGTGTTGTGAGAGCTCTGTAACAAATACATGTATCACTCATATTAATGTTTTTCTTATTTAGTACAAATATTAAAGCAGTTATGAGGGCACAGATTCAGAAAACAATAAAGCTATGAGAAAATCAGCAAAATCACTGTTTTTAAAAGACAGTGTGTGTTCTGTATGACTTGAGGCAAAAGCATGGAGATGTTATTTCAGTTAACACATCTGTAGAGCAATCATGCTCCGATAAAAAAAAATAGCTCAACAGAAACATTCACCAGAGACTTGAACTAAATTAGGCTCGTCCTCTGTGGAAATCAAACTCAGGTTATAGGTGTTGTAGTGCTTCCTGTTTCCAACTCTTACTACAGTATAGTGTTTCAACAGTCTGGTCATGTGATGTGTAACATTGCTCTGATTGGTTTAGGTACAACAGCCACTGACTCTGATACCTGTACCAACAGTTCCTAATATATTATGAATTAAATGTGTCTGGGGCCAGATGGTCACTGATGTTGGAAGTCTTTTACAGGAGCTGTTTGAAAAAGGGGAAATTATTTTGGAAAAAATACTTAGAAAGCACTTGTATGAAGTACTGTCCATTATGAGAGATCCTCAACCAACAATGAACCACTAGAAGACTCAATTAGTCTAAAATCTTTGCATAGTATACAAATGAGTAAAACGTGTGTATTTTACTAACCAGATACCTTAAAGTGTAGGAACCCCTTACTTGTGTTGTTGTCAATGTCGATGTTCACCTCCTCTGTGCCATCTTCGCCGAGAAAGGACTGGATGTTGGTGTCTTCGTACCAGTTGAGCGATGGGATGCGCTTGCCGCCGATCTCAGGGTGACCGCACATGATCCTAGAAAAAGCTCTCAAACTTTCTCTGGGCTCTGCTGCGTAATTTTCAGGGGAAAGTAGAGTAAGAGCTGCACTCAGCTCTGCAAAACTGGTGAAGGAGGAGAGCTGGTGGAAGGCAGAGAAGTAAGAGCAAGGGAAAACAAGAGGGCAAAAACCAAGGATGGAATTAAAAGATGATGTAAAAGCATAGCAGAGAGTCAAAAGTACAAAAACAAACAAAAAGTCACATTACATAAAAATAATAAACTAACTGGCAGCTGATGAAACAGATTTTAAGTTCCTCTAGCAGCCATGAAAAGCTGGTTGTGTAACTCTGCGTCAGATTAGAAAATTTAATAAACAAAATAAATTGCAGTCTACAAATTTCTCACATCATCTATGAGAACAGCAAGTTCCTGGGACACAGAAGCAATAGCCAGACTCGTGCCTCTCAGCTCTTCAGTGCTACCCATCAGTCGGTTTCCCTGTCAGAAAAAAACAACTGGGTTATGATTAAAAACGTATAAGTGAACAAAGTGTCTTTGTTCTACAAACCAATTGTTTCAATTCATTCAAATTAAAGCAAAGTAGTACAATTAAGGTTAAATATATTTTCAAGTTGTTCATTTCTGTATAAATATTCTCCAACTAAAGACACCAAGAAAGAAGAAATACGACTAGAAGTGAGAAAAAAAGACATTTATGAAAAACACATTGTGTTTTTAGCTTTACTCTAGTCAGTTTATTTATCTCTTTTCAGATAACTCAGAATAATTACTGTAAGAAAACACACCGTGAAGAACCTGGCAAACTCCAGTTGGGATAAAAAAATGCCCTCAGCCTCCTGCAGGACATCAGCTGGAAGGCCACACAGCTCAGTCTGAAGAACACTCATGTTGGCTGCTCCTCCATCCACCGACAGCAGTTCGGCCATCAAGCTCTCGTTGCACACCAACACTTTCAGTGGCGTCTGGAATCCAGTCAATACAGCCTGGAGAGGACAATAACAATGAGTAATGACACAAACAGCAGAGAATCAACAAACTGTCTAATTATTTAATCCACAACAGCAAACGGTGAGCGGAAAATCTCTACATTTTTTTCTAGAAGCTAAATGAAATCTCGAGCAAATTCAGCATCCATCTAATTTTATACATGACAGCCCTCTGAAACATCTTCTGTGTAAAAATGACTTTTGAAAAGCTTGAAAGAGAAACAAAACACAAGATTTACATAAAATGACAGATTAAAGCATGTCTTAAACTGGAATATCAAATCAAACATTATTTATAAAGCACTTTTCTTACAAGGAATGCAACTCGAAGTGCTCTACAGATTAAAATGACCCTAAATAACCCTCATTCCCATACCTCCCATACCAATTTAAAGGCATTGGCACAGTCATACCATACAGCTGCTAGAGGAGCGCAGAAGCCGTGAGGGTTCATATGGTAAAAGCAGGTGTGAGAGATAAGAGGGCCCAGGACCATTAAGACATAAACCATTAAAAGAACCTTAAAATCAATTCTGAAACATACTGGAAGCCAATGCAATGATTATAAGACTGGTGTAATGTGCTCCCGCCCCCTGTTCTTTGTCAGGACATGCGCTGCTGAATTTTAGAAAAGATGTAAGCCTGGAATGCTCTTTTTGGGAAGACCAGAAAGCAGGGCATTACAGTAGTCTACTCTACTGGTGATAAAAGCATGCATCAGCAACTCCGTATTGGCCCGAGAGAGAATGGGACGGACTCTGGCGATGTTCTTTAGATGATAAAAACCTATTTTCGTAATGTTTTTTTTATGTCTGGGATAAAAGTCAGCTCAGTCTCAAAAATCACGCCCAGGTTCTTGACTTGTAAGCAAGGATTAAAAGACAGTGATTGTAGTTTTGGTCAAAGTTTCTCTCTGAGCCTCAGGACCGATAACTAAAACTTCAGTTTTGTCCTGGTTCAGTCGGAGAAAGTTTTCTGCCATCCAGGATTTGATGTCTAAAATGCACTTAAAAATTGCGTCCACTGGCCGTGTGTCGTCGGGAGACATCATCAGCATAACTGTGAAAGTTCACTCCATGTTTCCCGATGACACCACTAAGAGGGAGCATATGAAGGTTAAAAAGCACTGGGCCTAAAACTGAACCCTGGGGCACACCACATATAATTCTATGAACCCTAGAGGAACAGGTATCTAAACTCACCATAAAAGTCCTGTCTGTGAGATAATATGTGAACCATCTGTGAACAGCACCAGAGAGGCCAATTTATCTTAGACGTGTTAAAAGAATAATGTGGTCCTCTGTATCAAAGGCAGCACTTAGATCCAGTAGAGCCAACACTGTCACTCTCCATTTACCATAATTTAATCCAAAATCATTTAAAATCTTCAAAAGAGCCGTCTCCGTGCTGTGGTCCACCCTAAAACCAGACAGAAATTTCTCTAGGACATTACAAGCAATTATAAAATCATTTAGTTGCATTAAAACAAACTTTTCTAAAATTGTGCTTAAAAATGGTAAGTTAGATACTGGTCTAAAATTGTTAAAATGATTTAAATCTAAATTTATTTTCTTCAACAGGGGCCTCACCACTGCCCCTGCAGAAAAGATCCCATAAAATTGTTGAAAACAAAACGTAGTGGGAATAATGACCTCAATATGAACAACTAAACAACAGCTAGTAGCTCATAATGATGTTGTTGCTGATCTCAAAAAGGCTTTTAGAAAAATGTAATGATAGCATGACGTGAATATTTTATCGTCAATCTTCTTAGCAGCTACTTATTTATACTGATATGTTTCAACTGATGTTTCAAATCAAAAGTTTAAAATGATAACAGAGGATTTAGATAAAATTGACCCTGGAAAAGGAGATTTCAGAAAACAATTATTGAACCTGAAAATTGAGATGTGCATTCATCAGCAGGTCCACGGTTGAAGACGACAGGTTGCCACTGGTCAGAAGAAAGTTGGAGAAAGTCTCATTGGGTCTCAGGCACTCTTTAACTGGGAGAGCTACAGTGGAAACACAATGAAAGGTCAGGTCCATTCCCACAAATTAAATTATCTATACTTCATCATCCTACACATTAACATAACCTATTACAGTTACAAACTGCTGTTTATAGTTTGGTTTACACTTAAATTTACCAGCTTCCATTTTGAACCTTTAGAGATAAATAGGCACATTATTTCTTTGTTCTCTTGTATTTTCATCACACTAAAGAAAATAAAACTACGAGAGCGTGCATGTTTTAGGGATTAAGTGGGTGGTAACCCAGCTTTCCCCCAAATCGAATAATTTAAACTACGTACGATATTTGGAGCAGAAAATACTTTGTTGATTTAAATGTTTGTTATTGTAAATTAGGGTGTTACCACAGCTTTACCACAGCTGCCAAAGGTTCTAACTGTGTGTCTGAATGCTTCACCAGTTGCCTGGAAGGCTAGCACACTAGCTTTCAAAGAGCTCATTTGTATAGATTATTTATGCTAACTCTAAATATCACTTTAATATTTAATTAACTGACACCACTCCTGCAGTTACAAGCTCTTTATGGTAGCAGATACTGTGTTGCAAATAAAACTATTTAAAAACAACTACAAAAAAATAACTTGCTTTTAATGTAACATGATCTGGCCTGAACAGGGAGAAGAAGAACACACACTAGGAAGCTGCTCTGTAAAAGCACCAACAAACAAGCTGCAACACCTGATATTAAAGGTGCAGTATGTAAGAATATAGTGAGAATTTTACAGTGAGAAAATCCCAAGAGTCTAATGTTTCAATCATTTTGGATGGAAGGTTTTACTGAAACATATTTCATATCCAGCTGGCAGCAGGGATTGTCAGTTTCTCTCCTTTCAAAACAAAGGAAGGAGGGATGTAGCTACAGTTTACCATTAGTGAGTGTGGGATTGTCGTGTCTCCTGCGAGCTAATACTGCAGTACCAACAATTGTAATTTGACGACAGCTGGCAAAAAGCTCCAGAGTTGTTTAAAGTGGTTGCAGTAACCAAATTTTACCACAGGATGTTATTTTTACTTCTTTTCTACATAATGCACCTTTAACAAAACACTCCAGTGAATGTGTGTATTACTACAAAATGAACTGTTTTAACTGACACACAGAGCTGGGTTTTAGGTAAGTGAAATAAACAAATATTTAAAATATTTGCTCCTAAGGATATTTCTGAGCTGTGAACTTTATATGTGAAACTGGGACCTGAGGTCATCTAATCAGAATTTATTATCAGTTTCTCAGAACTGATTTAAACCCTCTAGTCAAATGTTTGGATGCACCTAAAGTTGTTAGCTATTTTCAGACTGCTATCCGGTTTAGACACCCAGAATAACTTGAGTCATATATTATTGTTCCTGAACTCTAAACTTTACGTCTGCTTACGGACTCCAATCAGTGGAAAAGATTAAACCAAGTACTTGGAAATGATTCAAGCCTTTCTCCCAGAAGCCGAACACTGCCCATCAGGTCCTGAAAGGTGGACAAACTCTGGTGTCCATCGTGGGACAGAAAAGTCTGGGCATCCACAAAGAGACGAGACAGTCTGCAGGAGAAGCACAATAATCAAGGTTTTACTGGAACAAACATGGAGTTGAGTTAATCACAAAGTGCCAGAGTTAACAGAAGCACAGTTTTGGATTTGGCTGTAAATGTTAGTCTCTTTTATTTGTTTGACGTGAAGCGGTGTTTCATAAAGTAAACTGAACTGAGGTAAAGTTCACTAACTGTTGAACAGGGTTTTGATAAAATCTCAAGTAAAAAACGGGCAAATTAATGACATAAAAACTATTTCAAACTGATTCGGATATCCCAGTTGTTAACTGTATGCAGCTTTCATAAAAACAACAGGAAATGTTCTGATGGTCATAATAAAATCCTGAAATAATACAACTACTACTAATAAATAAACCTCTACCTCAGACACTGTAAAGTACACCAACAAAGTTAATGACATATCCTCCTATAAAACGCCACCTAATAATTTCCTCTCAAGTTTTCTGCAGAACAAATTCAACAATGAGCACTTTCTTATTTCTTAATTCTACCTACAATGAGTTGTCAAAGTTGCTAATTTGTCCGGGTGTTTCTCCTGGTGTTTGGCTGTGGAAACAGGGGTTGTTGATGTTGCAGATGATGCCCTGAATCCAGGGTAAGGTGCCTACTGACGGCAAGGCTTTGTTTGGAAAATGACCTACAGATAAAGTTTAAGAACACGCACAGCCAAGAGATTAGAAATGAAATGTGAACACACAAGAAGACACAAAGACTGATAAAGACAGACAAAAATGACTAATAAGAAAGTATAAAAAGCAATAACTTAAATTTTAATTAGATATACAGACCAATGAACACACAGTAAATACCACATCCATCACTAAATAACCCGATCAGGAATAAAATAAAATAAAAATGTAAACAAGCTGCTTTTCATAGGATTGCATGTTTTTGGCTTAGATAAAGATATGACGATATAGAACTATCATTCCGATGTTTTCTCATGTGGACAAGGAGTCTTACATGATGGAATTTTATCACAAGAACTTTGAAAGAACATCAAGAAAACAAACTTGTGCACGCACAAGCTTCCCTCCCTGTGAGTTAACTGTCCTTAGCTTGTTGGCAAAATGCCATTTTCCAGACCAGAGTGTGTAACAATATGTGCATTATAAAGAATTACTCACATTGGCTTTGTTTGTACGGAGGGTGCGACCGACGGACAGAGATGAGAATTAAAAAGAGGAAGAGCGGCCAGAGAAGCTCGACGATCAGCTGGATCTGAGGAGAATAATGGAAGGTGTAAACAGTATTTAGAATTATACATCATCCTAACTAAATAGAAGATTTATGTTTTATGTCACATTGTGGACAAAAATATAAATACATTTTACGAGCTTCATTGTAGTCCTCTATTAAAATATATATTGCAGAACCAACATTTTATGTTAAATGTATAAAGAGTAAGGATGGAAGCACCTTGTTGCGTCTGCGGTATGTGAAATTTTTCCAGAGCAGGAGGTAGAGCTGCGTGAAAAACCCCATGGTGTCCAGCAGCTACCTTACCATGATGTTTCTCTGTAAAACAACAAACATTTTAAAAAGACTAAATTTTAGCTAAGTAACTTAGCTGAAACTTAGTGTCCTGTTTGGTTCCTAATTTCTGTGCTTCTGTTTTGTTCTATCCAGTTTGGCTACTTTCCTCTATAATGAAGTTGATCAATTAAAGGCAAAAAAAAAAGTTAAAGTCCCATTAGTCATCACACACTGGTGAAATTCATCTCCGCATTTGACCCATCCGCATGGGGAGCTGTGAGCCGCAGCTGTGGCTGCGCTCGGGAACTATTTGGAGGTTTAACCCCCCCAATCCAACCGCTTAAAGTTGAGTGTCAAGCAGGGAGGTGTTGGGTCCCATTTTTAAAGTCTTTAGTGTGATTCCATTTGGGATTTGAACCCCCATCTCCCAGTCCCAGGGCGGACACTTTCCCACTAAGACAATAAGAAGGTTGCATAAAAACACATAAATAGGAAGATTAAAGAAATTATGAGCTAATTAATAAATAAATTCTTAGGTTTTATAAATGTTGCAGTTTAATTGAGTTCAGTACACAGATAATGAACTTTACGTCACACCCCAAGGAAGAATTTTAACTAGGAAGAATAAATATAATAAGTTTTCTTACACTTTTCATCCTGTTTCTTTGACAAAATGTGGAAGAATGACAGCGTCAGACACCCCCCCCCCCCCCCCCCCTCTCTCTCTCTCTCTGTGTGCTTGTCTTTATATGTTTAAGTGGACACATTTTGACTTTTAACCTGTAGCTTGTGGGCATTTCCACATTGTGAGGACATTAGGCTGGTTCACACAATGATAAAGTATTCTAAAATGTGGTTTTAGAGGTATGGTGTGAATTCATTTTTGGTTCAGATTAGGATTAGGAATAGAACAACGTTGTAGTGAAGTCACTAAAATGAATGGAAGTCAATGGAGGTCCACACAAGCATTTAAATACTCAATAATAAAGTGTGTGTGTGTGTGTGTGTGTGTGTGTGTGTGTGTGTGTGTGTGTGTGTGTGTGTGTGTGTGTGTGTGTGTGTGTGTAAAAGTTGCTTTTAGTGCCAGCTGTAATCTCCTCAACACAGACAATCCCCTGCTTTATCCTGAAATCCTCCTAAGCCTAACAGCTCACCTGTCTCACTTTAAGGCAGTCACTTTTGCTTTACTCCAGAACAGCTACAATAATGTCATGGAGAATTTTGAGCACTATACAGATTTTTAACTATTTGAAAGGACAGAAGATGATTCTAGAAACCACTGAAAGATAGTATTTTCTATTTAGATTTATACATGACTTTAAACTCACTTAAGTAAGAAAATCATAGCAGGTTACTATTACACAGTCCTACGTGTTGATTTACAACTAATGCAATGTCTGACTACGTTTTGTAGCTTTACGCTGCTGCTGCCTTGAAGAAAGTAATATTGAGCTTTTGAAATTAAAACATTTTCACAAAACATGAAATATATGTAATTAACCAATTAACACCACTACATACAAGGACATTTCTGAAAACAATAGCATCAGCCATTAGCACAAATATGACAAAACAAAAAAATTCTGTAGTGTTAGCTTCATCTTCCTAGCACCTCAGTGACGCTGCTATAAAGCTTACGAACTCATTACGAATACGGTATGAACAATAAATGTTACAAAAGTAAAAAATCTATATTTAATAGTTACCTTTCTGTAGTAAAATAAATACTTCTGGGCGTTTCCGACCCACCAACCGATGCCTCTGGTTCGACATTGACTTCCTAAGGTTTATGACAGCAAGTGCAGGTCGACAGATCCACCCAAGAGCTAAGCTGATTGGTCAAAACACATCTGAGTGGACGGGCCTAAGGAAGCCGGTTAATGATTTGATTGGCCAGAATCCATGTTGTCGTAACTAACGGACAGGTGATTGGTCAGTTGACGTGAAGAAAATGACATGCTCGCAGCCTCGTTTGCAATATGTTTGCAACTCAAAACAACCCATTGAAATATTTAAGCTAAATCAAAAATCTGTTTCAATTATATATATATATATATATATATATATATATATATATATATATATACATATATATATATACATATATACTAGTGCGTTCTATATAACTACCCTTTTTATTCAGAACAGCGCAATGGTATTTTTTTTATTCAAACAAGCTGGATTTAAACAACTTTCCCCAAATTATTGGTGTATATTTGAACAAAAGCTTACAAACTGTAATTGCAGCTCATACACCTGCTGTCTGTCAATAAATAACAGTATCAAGGTTTTTAAAATAACTTTATTGTGCATTCATATGAACAAAAACACATACAAATATACATAAATCTCTATCAAATAAGGCAGTGACCTTTATTTTGTGCAAATCAGCACCACATCAAGCACAGTCAGTAAAACACTGCATGAATAAAACAAAGTGATCTCTGAAGTTTGTGAGAGACCTTCTTGATATGTATGAGTACAAAATAGACAGGAAGTACATCACAAGACAAACAAATCTTGATTTGATTAAGTCACTATTTCAAATTTGTTTATCTCAGACTGGAGGTACATATAAGGCAGGAAGACCAGTAGACTACACACTACTTGGTGCTGCTCACCAATATGTAAGAGACAACAAAAAAAGCTCTGTTCAGGTTTTTTCATTTCTAAAAGATCTAATAAATAACGGAAAGCAAATCCTATATTTCGGTCATTCCAAATAACATTTGACATATGATAAAAAAAACTAGTTTGTTCTATAATAACAGAAGTGTAACAGTAGCTGAGCGACAAAAATTGCATAATTCTTTTAATGTTTGGCAAAAGCATATGTAGGTTGAACTCTACAGTGTTAATGTGGTAGGGAAGCAAGAAGTGATCAAAGATACACCGGCTGCTCTTGTCCTGTTAAGAGTCGATATGTTGAGGCTGGCATTGTCTTCAGGTGAATCTGTCAACAGCATAAGAAACAAACATCCAATAATTTATTAACTCAAAATAGTTCTCTCTAATTGCTCATCAATTAGATTTTTTTACCTCTCCAACAGCATTTGAGAGGATCTGGATGATTTTATCATGTGGAGTTGCAACAACACTTTGTCCATTAATTTCAATGATGCGATGCCCAACACGCATTCCTCCTCTTTCCGCTATACCCCCCCGCATCAGACTGCATATCTACAATGAGATTATAAAAACTGCAATTAGAGAAGAACCTGTGATTCTGTATTTTTTTAATTGTATTTTTGTAAATACATTTTCTTTGCAATCGTCTACTGTTTGTTGTGCAATTATAAAAGCAGTTAAAGGGACCCATGTGTTAGTAGCAGACTCAAGTTATAACAAGTGACATACAATGCCATCCTCAACACTGAAGCCCAACTGAAACTTGGGATCGGGTCTTCTTATGATCGCCATGGTGACTGGAGGACAATGGACAATGCTGAGCTTCACATACTTTTGATTTCTAAGTTCCTGGGTCAAAAACACACACACACACACACACACACACACACACACACACACACACACACACACACACACACACACACACACACATTATTATGTTTAATTGACATTTACAGTTGTATTGGCTCAACTTCATGGGATCTTCCTGATTTGTCTAACTGACATGGCTCATAGAACCCCACTCAAAGCACACCTGATCTGATGCTTTGAGTGTCTAACCTAAAATAAATATGCTTTCTTTGAAAAAACTACTTTAAACCTTAATTTAAACAAGCCCTGTGTTTTAGTAATTTCCAGGTTTAAATGAACAATTCTCCACAAGTCAGCAACATAAAAAAGCTGCTTCAGTTTTAACCCCAAAACACATAAATAAATCTGCCCCACATGACTTGCTAGTATTTGTATGCCTTGTAGCAGAAATAATTACAGCCCCAGATCTATTAGTACTTTACAGACAAGAAGTCACAGATTATTTAAATACAATATGTGCCTATAAGCAATCTGACACAAACAAAGTCAGATAAAATCATTCCACAGCAGGGAGATTATTCTTGTTTTGCTTCTTTCAGTGAAAATTTATGGTGCCACATTTTACTCCAACACTTTTTCTTTTTGTGTGTTTCAACTAGTGAAACTTATAATGGAGGGATATCTTGAGAACTCTGTAACAAGATATGTGTTGTTTTCTACATTGTCACGGATGTTTTAAAAATAATTCATAAGACCTTGCAGAGAGGCAGCATAAAATAACCCACAGAACTTGGACAACGTGTTCAAAACTAATGAAAGTCAAATATGAACAAATGGATTCAAAGCGCCACCTAGAGGATAATAAGAAAGAAGCAAGTCCTGATTAAGTACATGTAAGATGAAAATGAATTAAAGGCTAAATAAAATACAGTCTTTTTTTCCAGGTTTGAGCTTGGCTGCCGCTTCTTACCCGGATGATGTTCTCGCAGGTAGTGATGGGCAAGCCTACTAAGCTGGTGCCATTGACAGACATGATCCGGTCACCGATACTAAGCTCACCACAGCGCTCAGCTGGGCCACCATGAAGCAGGTTAGCCACCACCACGGTGGGGAGGATGGAGCCCCAGCCTGACTCCACCACTGCCAGCCCCAAGATCTCACCAGCAGGCTTGGTGATGGCGATCTGATCCAGAGACACACAGAGATTTCATTAGACATTTATGTCATGACAACTGTAAACTTGGCTAGTATTTAGGCTTATTTTGATGTATTTGTGTTACTTATTAAATTTATTTTTCTTTGCAACCCTGTATTGACAAACTGTTGAGTACACTAGTTGCTAAATCCATCATGGCAGAAAGTCTTCTTTTTAAACTTTAGTATTTCTTTTCTATTTTTTTTACTTAGAGTCAAATAAAGTGATGAGAGGATTTATATTAACTTCTGTGTTAGAGCAGCAAGAACATAAAATGTGAAAACATAAAACAGCAGATTATAAAATCAAATTTAAAAATATGCTAATAAAATTTGCATTAATTCAGTAAGAAATTAAATAAAAAGACAAAGTTAACAACTGAAAAGTTAAAATGCAGTTGGTGCTGCATAAGAAACAACCATTCAAAGGCAGATGGATGCATAAAAGAGTGAGGTGTACCAACTCCAGTTTGTCTGGACATCATGTTCATCGATTTCCAAAACAGAAAATGAATACGAAAAGCATAGAGATCATATATACGCAGAGATGACATGGGCTGGGGCTTTCTACTGGCACTAGTGTTACTGTGGGCCACCATCTTGGATGAGTCACCAGTCACCCCCAGTGCGTTCACTGGGCTAGAAAAGTCAATAGTGGTCTAGCTTAATCTGTTTTCAACAGTACGCCGGTTGTTGGGACCATAGATTGCACAAAAACAGGAATGGTTACTCACTCAGTACAGCAGTGACTCCAATTAGGTTTTGGAGAGTGAGGGACCCATCCAATATGGCAGCAAAATGGTTACATTCCAGTGCCTAATGTCGCTTCTACATATTTTGGTTATCTTGTGGCCACTGGCTGTTTGTTTAATATAAATTGTACATTCGTACTGATTTCAAAAGTAAACTTTCTTCTTCTACAGTAGACCCGCTTTTTATTCTGTTCCCTGTTCGAATATGAGACTACTTTGCTTTGAGCGTAATGAGGAAGTAGTTAAGCTGCCCTCACATGATCATTTTAGGCCAATGCCGTAATCGCATTTAGTGAACAGGAAGCCAAAATAGTGGTGTACTCTGAGTCGAAAATAGCAGGAATTATGATTTTATTACCTTAGAAGCTCATAAATTAGAGAACAAAAATTAATTTTATGGAAACGTGTTTGATGTAATATGTCAGGGGACAAGTTTGTGTCGAAATTGATTTAAATAAAAATGCTCTTAGTAGTTAGCGTATCTTATTTTGACCTTGTTTATTTTTATCTTATCTATATGTTTTTCTTTGGTGTAAAGCTAATTATGTGTCTGTTGCTGCTGCCTCTCAGGCAGATCGTCGTTGTAAATGACAAAGAGTTCTCAATCGACTCATCTGGTTAAATAAAGGTTCAATAATAAAAATTCTGTGCCATCTGTGTGCATTTAGAAGTTCAGTTTCACCATTTCAATTCTCCCTGTTTCGCCTGTTCCCATCAACTCTTGGTGCTGGCTCAAAACTGCATGGCTGTGGACCTTCAGTATTTAACATGAATGCAGATTTGTATTCTGGAATCTGGACCTTTGTGCTGCTGCTGCAGATCCTTTTTTTTTCTCTGAGCAGAGTCAGGAACGTTTTCCTTCAGCGACATCACTACCGGTTTCCAACGAGAGGCACTTTTTTTTAGACGGATTAGCTAGGAGACCCTCGTTGGAACAGCAATAGCACCATTTTGTTCTCATATACCTTCAGTTTTTTAAAAAGAAAATATTAAGTTTAGACCTGTTACAATATAAGGGCTTCAACATGTGTTTAATGTGGAAGATGCCCTTTATTAGATAAAAATTTTCAGGATAAATACGTGGTTGAGCTAGAGGCTGTTAAAAAATGTTTTTGGTAATTTTCAAAGTAGATCAATAGAACGATGTTCCTACTATAAACCTAAAATGTTTACAGCTTCAATAAATTGTCAACTTTTTATGTTGCTTATTTGACACTGGAGCTTTTATTTTAGTTTAACAAGAAGATTTAAGGTATCTCTACAAGAAAGACGGCAGTTAACTTATACTTTATCCTGTCATTTATTTTACACTGTCACAATCCACGATGGGTTTAAAATAATTATTATTAATTAAGATGAAAAATCCCATGCACATCGTATTAATTCTGCTTACATCTCGGAGATTCTGAGAGTCTGAAAAATGGGCAAGGTCTCCGTTATACAGCTCCTGACTCTCCAGGTAGTCACTGTACTCGCCCGGCTTCAGATCTTTGGCCTTGATGCCACTGGCCTGGAGGAACTGCTGATAGGCAACACCAAACGCCTGTCCAATAGCCTGAGCGATGACCTGAGCCTGCAGAGAAAATAGAAGAACAGACTCAGGGTTCATAACTGATGTATGGATAAAAAAAAACTATGAGATGGTTTGAAGTTGATCCACCAACACAATAATAGCTGAAAACTCAATGTATCTTGTTTTACCTGAATTATATCACCCAACTGTAAACGCATATAACCTCCCAGGAGGAGAAATGCAGTTGGAGATTACAAAGTTTACAGGGATAAAGCAAGATATGTGGAAATTGAACTCTCAATAGAAACATACGGATGTGACTAAACGTTGTTCTTTTCTTTTAGGCCCACTTGGCAGTTTTGCTTGTTTTAGCACCTCCTAGTGTCCGTTATTAATTATCTGTGGTAAAAAATAAAATAAAATAAAAATAATAAAGACATGTCTCCCCAGACTTCATGACAGGAGTGATTTATGAAATGAATCAGCTGTGTTCATCACCTAAAACAAGTAGGAATCGTGCTGGGAGCAGACTGCAGTACCAGGTATTTAAGCTCAATTTAAAACAAAAAGTGTAACAGGTGCCGGACTGACACTCTGAAGTTGCAAATGCAGTATCCTGGCCACAGAGGGCGGTTGGGGTCTGAGTGACATTTCATTAACCCTGTAAAGGGTCATTTTAGCACATACTGGCTCAAGAAAATTATTTTTTTAAATGAAAGAGGTGCATAGAATCCCTTTAAATAAAAGCCACAAAAAGGATATGGAATAAAAAAAAGTGCCTTCTCAAGATTTGTTTTAATCAACATAACTTTATGTTAAAAAATAATAGACCCACAATAATTGTTAGAAGTGGTTTCATAGCCTTCAGCAACCCACAGCTAATTAGTTACTAAAAGGAACTCCTATTCTGTGCTGCCAATAGGAAACTGGCACGACTGCCAGCCCATTTTATTCCCAGCAGCGGTCTGCTAGAATGAAACTAAACCAGGCCGAAGCTGAAACTGTTCTCCAAAGGAAAATAGGTCATTTGAGATGAAGTGCTACGCTGGGCAGCACAGGAGCCACAAATATATTCACTAGTTATACCAACCTGTTTCACAGTACTGTCGGGCTACTAACCTCCAAACAACAGAACTGTTCTGACTTACAGCAGCTGTTGGAATCCAGGATTTACAAACAAGGAAGAAAAAAAGGTCACATAAAATCTTTAGGGCAGCGACATTCCGCAGGCGGCCCGCGGCGCCCTTCTGGAGGGGTAGGAACAGCGCAGTTGTCTATTGGTGTTTGGACCAGACCTCAAGCTTCAAGGTCGTTTTGTTGAATGCGCTCGGACCATTACATCTGAGTAACCCTTTTTTAGGGCATTGGTTCCAACCTTTTTCAACATGACCCTCTTTCCTGTGTCCAAGACAAGCTAGGGCTCCCCCAACCCCAGCACGCATGCACACTGACAATTAATGATTACAAATTGACGTACAGTTATGCCTCTTACAGACTTTTGATTGCACTATTGGGTGTGTCATCTGAATTAAAAAAATGTAGATTTTACAACTATAATCTTGGTAAACCTCACATTCTCAGCACACACAAAGTTGTGGGGTCACTGACCCAGATTGGGAACCACTGGAAACCGTTCAACTGACAGACTCACATCCTCAGAGGAGAAGACGTGACAGATCATCAAACACTTCTTCTGACACACAGAGGCTGATGAAGAGGACGCACTGGAGGCAGAACCACCATCCTGCCCTTTTAGCTTCCTTCGTGCCATCAGGACCACGATGTTGCCAATGTCCGCTATGTAGGAGATTGTCTGCAGAGCATGGTCCATCATGGCTTCCTGCGTGGAAACCGAATACAACTTAGTCATGCTTGATGTGAAAACATCTAAGACATTAAACTTCACATGAATAATAGGCAACAGCAAAATCTGCATTCATTTATTTTTTTTTATTTGGTGATATTAGTACAAAATGTACAAATAAATGCATATATATATTATATTTCATCTTTTAATTACCAAGATTAAAAATACGTTTCCTGAATCCAAATAAACATTTACGAAAGCTGCTAAAAGAGGTGACATTTCAAAGACAGATGAAAACAACAATTCCATATGTTATGTGCCTGAAATCAGCATAAACTGTGACTTAAAGTTTACTTTATTAGGTACACCTATTTGATTACTTTTTAATAGGAAATATTAATCAACCAATCACATGGCAGCATTTAGGCAAAGGCGATTTGCTGAAGATTAGGGCTGCAACAACGAATCGATGAATTCGATGAAAATCGATTACTAAAAGCGTTGGCAACGAATTGCGTCATCGATTCGTTGTGTCGCACAACTCTTCCAAAAGCGCCCCCCCCCCCCCCCCTCCCGCCCACCGTTGCGCGCAGACCAGAGCAAGTCAGATCAGTGCGAGGGAGAGCCGCAGATCAGCGCGAGGGAGAGCCGCAGATCAGCGCGAGGGAGAGCCGGTACAGGCAGATCAGCGCGAGGGAGAGCCGCAGATCAGCGCGAGGGAGAGCCGGTACAGTCAGATCAGCGCGAGGGAGAGCCGGCAGATCAGCGCGAGGGAGAGTCTGCAGACTTGCGCTGCTGCGAACCGGTTCCGCATTGTTGTGCAGCGATCCAGGCAGCTGCTTCCAGCGCACGGTCCATTCTCAAAGTGGCGCAACCAAAAAACTATAATTAGCACACGATCGTTCTTGTCTGCACATGTTCTCTATTTTCTGTCTTATTTGTGCCTGAAGCGCTCTGCTGCGGAGCTCATCACCTGTGCTGTGGTGATGTCACCTCACGCAGCATCGAAAACGCGCTCTCCGCTTTGCGGTCAGGAGATCTCTTTGATCTGCTCAAAAGTAACTGATGAGGTGAAAAGGTAAGAATCCAGGCAACAGATTTTCTGGAGAATTATGAGGAGATGCAGGAAGATGAGAGACAGACAGGACAGGAAAATAGTTAAATAAAAACAAGAAAACAAAGTCAAATGTAGGTAGATTTATCTCCATTACACGTTTTTACCAGTAAAAAACAATAAGTTATACACATGTCATAGTTATACATCTGATACAATTCAGATCACCTTCAAAACTCAGTCACACACCCAGGGCCGTTTCAAGACATTTTGGGGGCCAAGGCAAAATGTCCCCCCCCCCATAACTGGGCTCCCCAGAAGCCTCTGTGTAATTGATGCCCTCTCCAGGAGTGTTAGTTATACAGTGTTTGTAAAAGCCCCTCAGACATTACTGACATGTTCTAATATTATCAGATGAAAAACTAAATTATCAGACATGCTGTCTCATCTGCTTCTTTTCTAAACTTGCAAAAAGTAACAAAACCATTTGAAAGCCACTATTAGTGGATTCTCTGAAAGTTTCCATGGAGTGTGTGACAACTTATTTTATCATTGATCCTATCGTCTAATCTCACAGCTGAAACAAGCATCCTTAATAATCTGTGCACAGGAAGCTTACCGATGCTGTAGTAAAACAAAAGGTATAATAATTTATTATTAATAAAACCTTGTTGCAGCACTAAAGCAGAAAAATTAGATTTTGCATTAAATATGCAAAATATTTACATATGAATTGTTTTAGAGCCCTTTTATTGGCAGAATCTGATATTAATTTAGTTCTTACAAAAAATGGGTCCCAACATGGTTTGTGTGGCGTTGCCATAGTGTGACGTCATAGGCACAGATCCCCTGTCCTCTTGTTTGGAAATGGAAATATGGTCACCCTACATTAAACAAACTGTCCACCCGGGCTTTTGCGCTGCACAGAGACGCTTCGCTGCCTATGACTGAACGTCAGTTGAGAGTCAGTCTCATGCAGACTGACCAATGAAGAGAGGGCCTCAAGTTAAGACCCTCTCCTCATTGGTCAGTCCACACGAGGTGGGTCAAAGGTTACTCTGGGCGGGTTACGTGTTGTCAGGCATTCAAGTATTGAGTATATTTACTGCATATTACAGTAAAATATTCTTCATATGACCATATTATGGTGATCCTTGGGTCGTGATGATGGAGCCCTTGAATATTGTTGCCCAGGGTACAACAAAGTGTTAATCTGGCCCTGGTTCCGCCGTCACATTCCCGCAGAAACTGGTTGATCACACCGGGGCCAGACTACTAGCATGTGGTTTTACAACCACAATGTCCTCAGAAGCAAAAACGCTTTTAAAAGGGAGGGAGGAGTCCTAACTGTTGCTGCAGGCGTGTTGTGTGAGAGTGCAGTTATATACTGGTTAATATATTTTTGGGTTCAGTTGCTTTCATGTGGCCTAATGTGAGTCTATTTGGGATCATTGGAATGATCAGCAGCATTTCTTGATGTGACTTTATGGCAGTTGCCCAGGGCATCATCGCAAGGAGAATGGCATTCATTTACTTTTGTTTTATTTGGTATTTTTTCAGTCATTTTTGGAAATAGTGATCAATTTTGATTAATTCACAGCCTATGTTTAATTACATTTAAAATAAATGTCAACAGATGAGATCAAACAAAACAGATGAGAATTGCCCTTAAGCTGTTTAACTTGGACCAAGCATTTTAGGTCACAGATAAATGTAGCTTAGGGTCTCTGTCTATACACCTTATAAGACAATTTAGGTGATGGCATGTTGTTTTTCTGCTATTGAACTGTTTTCTAATAATGTTGTGTTAAATAAAGTGAAGGAAGGAGAGAAATAACGTTTCCCTAGCAGTTTTTAAAAAATTTCCCCATGTAATCCGATTAATCGATTAATCGTGTCGAGACCCCATCCGATTAATCGATTATCCAAATAATCGTTTGTTGCAGCCCTACTGAAGATCAAACCAAGCATCAGAATGTGACTTTGAATACTATGTGGTTTTTATTTGGTGCCAGATAAACTGGTCTAAGTCAAAAATTGCTGATGTGAGATTTTTGTGCTTAAGGAGTTATTAAAGATAAATTCGGTACTTGTGCTGACAAAAATGCCTCGTTGATGTTGGAGGAGAATGGACACCTAACCTAAAATCTAGACCATCATTTTCCTCCACTGGAACCTCTGCAGCCCTGGACAGTATTGTGGCTGGCCAATCACAGCGCATTTATTTACAAAAACTATGTATTCGTCTTCTTCCTGAAAAAACAATGATGGTGACAGCTCATTTGAAACAGCTTTAGCATCAACTTTGGACTATTCTGACTTGTTTTTTTTTTTTTTGAGTCAAGAGCAGATGGGGTACTTGAGTCTATTTAAATGGTCTGTATTTGATATAGCGCCTTCTAGAGTCTGGAACCCCCAAGGCGCTTTACAACACAATCAGTTATTCACCCATTCACACACACATTCACACGCTGGTGGGGATGAGCTACGATGTAGCCACAGCTGCCCTGGGGTGCACTGACAGAGGCAAACTTAAAAATTGTGTCTTCTTTGATGGAGTATGGTGGACTGCCTTGTTGACTGACAACCATAGTGGTGAGTATGTCATGTTGTTTGTTACTCAACAGCATGTGGAGACAGTTTGAAAGAAAACCATAGATCCCACTCCACGACTGAGATCTGTCAATGGGCCATGGCAAAACTATATCTTCACAAACATAGGATGGCCTTCCAGGCAACTGAACACCATCTCCAAACACACATCAAACCATAAAGTAGATGAACTACAGCAGTAGAAGACCACGTCATGTGTTGCAGTCACCACCGAGGAAACTGTCCAACACCTCGTTGAATCAATGACACAAAGAATGAACACAGTTCTGAAGGCAAAAAGGGGTCCAACCCGAAAATAGCAAGGTGTAGCTAATACAATGACTAGTGAGTGTATTTCTGCAAGTCTAATTATCATCACTATAATAATAAATAAAAACTTAAAAAGTACCTGTGTGTCAGCATTGAGGACTTTGATTCGTTGAGTGGAGATGAATAGATCCACTTCTGTCATTGGCTGAGACTCTCCTTCTGGAGCCTACAAGAAAAATGCTCCTGAGTCTCCATTGGTTTTTTCTTGCTACACAGCGTAGCAACGTTTTTACCTTGAATTGCCAACAGTTCTGACATCACACAGCCCTCCTAAGTCATTTCTAATTACTTAAAACTCAACTGCTTCAATTTTAAATATAGAATTTTAATACACCAATAGCATGCATGGTCAAACTCAGGTCCACATACAAATATGTGCGTATTGTTGTTATAGAATAAAATTAATATAGCCGTGTCTATGGGAAACACACCACATAGAGACTCTAAAACTGTTGATATTTAAAAATCTGAATCAAATTTGGTATGTAGCTCTAATGAGTCTGTTTCTGGCAGCCATATACAATAAGCTAAAGGATTTAGTACACCTGTTTGAGAAATGTACCTTAATTCGGTCAACAGCCTCTTGAGCCTGGGTCATGCGAGCATTTGTCGAAGGATTCCTGTCCGATTTGATCTGAGTGGAGCCCAGATACTTAGCACCAAATATGACTCCATCCAGCAGGTCTTCAGGGTCACAAGGCCCAGGCACTGAATAATAATGTGTAATCATATCAACAACTACAAAAAAAGTGTTTTTTATGTCATTTTTTTTTGTTTTGAAAGTGCAACAAACTTTAGTAACTCACCATCTTTATATGACGGTTGGTCATCAGCACACTTAAATGATAAAATGAACATCAAAATAGGAAAATAAAAGCCTAGACTCAATCATGCATGTGATACAAACACTACAGTGAAAAATAAATAAACTTGAAGTTAATATTTAAACAAAATACTTTGATAAAGATTTAAGGACATAAAAATTAAGTGAGTTATCATAGTTAGAAATATAGAATTTTGCTCTTTTGGCACTGACCTCTGTGCCTTCTGCTGCAGCATCTTCCTCTGGTGGCTCCTCCCCCAGCTTCATCCATACTGGCTCAGGATACTCATCATCAGGCAAAGAGGTGATGGAGTAGTCCCTGTGCCGCCGACCGTTTGGATCACACCCCCAAAACCTCTGAGCATCCTCTTGATCATAGGAAACTGACACGACCGCGTCCACCTGGCCTCTGTGAGGCAGACAGGAAGGTTGGGGTGTACAGCTGATGTTGGTACACTGCAGAAGTCCCAGTACGTCACTCTGGTGGCTTTCAGAAAACAGCAGACCTGTGGTTTCAGTTATGTTGTTTGTTGATGGAGACAGAGCAGGAGGATGGTGCTCTGACAGCCTGGAGCAGCGATTGTATGAGGATGTCCTTGGACAGGGTTCTTTCTCCATTAGCTGAAGCTGGGTGAGTAAAGTGTGAATATGGCTATGGTCTTCATCACCTGGCCTCCCACATGAATCTTCAACTTCTTTACTGATGTTCCCCTCAACATCCCTAAATGTATCCTCTTCCGAGTAGTCTTCATCCCTTGGGCCCTCGGCACTCACCTCTTTAACTACACCATGCTCCTTTTCCAACTTCACTTCTAAATCTTGGAATAGCTCTGTTTTATTTTTAAGAAGCACAGGCTGGTTTGTATCCACTGGAATTAATGAAGGCAGCATTACTGACTCTCCCAGTGGGGTCAGGATGTCAGCAGATGGAGGCATGCTGGAATCCTCCAGATCATCTGCAGAACCAGCTTCACTAGAGGAGTCAGACCTCCAGTCTAGTGGAGGAGGCTCAATTAGACTGAAGGAATCAAGATCTTCTGTCTCTGATGCTGGCACAACTGCAACAGTCTCATTTCCTTCATCTTCTGTCACGTCTTTAACAAAGTCTAAATCAGGAAGTGTGCAGTCTGAATTTGCAGAAGAAGACTGATCAACAATGAAGCAGTCTGAGTCCATTTTGCATCAAACAAAAACAGACAAATAGAGTCCTTGCTGAGATTCCAGAGAAGCAGAATTATCTGGAAATAAGATGTACAGCAAAAACACAAATAGTATTAGATTTTATGACACAACTGCAACTCCAACAGAATCGTTAACTTTTCTTTCTTCTTTTTCCAATGGTCACAGGAACGTCCACCTTCAACACATAACACAACCATCAGACAAAATAAACTTTCTGTCTCAGTGAAACATCTGATTCTAAATCCATCAGTGTGCATCAGTTCACTTCCTAGTGTACATTAAAACATTCAAAAACAAGGTGATGAGCAACACAAAAACTATTGTTGCCAGTAAGAATCTGTTTCTTATGTGATTGATACATTCTTTACAATTAAGAAATATGGGTGAATTGTTGCTATGAACTGGGGCATTTAAAAACAGACTAACTTCAGTCTTAATGAAAATACATATTACTCATTTCTCAAATGACAAAGATGAGTCATTTTTAATACCATAGGCTGCAGCAAAGAACATTAAAATTTCTCTTTAAAGTTATACCTCAGTTATGTCCAAGCTAATATGCTAACATAATAACTCAGCACTTACTTTAGTTTAATCCACCCGTGTCAGTGATAGGTGTAAACAAAGCACTGAAAGTAAACGGCAGCGTTTAAGAAAGAAAGGAAAAATATTAATTTCACAGTAAAGTGGATCAATTAGTTAAATGTAGCAAATCAAGTAGCTTGAAGCTAACTACTTAGCCTAGCTAATTTTGACTGATCCTGGAGCTACCCTGACAAAACTAATAACACAGAAACAAAGACTACAATGGTAACAGTGGAAGGTCTCACCGGGTTTTAAAATCGTTTTCGGTGTTATTGAGCCAGAGATAAACTCCTTTGAGTGCCACGACCGATGAGTTGACGTGGTTAGGAATTTGAACCCTCTGAAACTTAAGCTTTATTTTATTCATAATATTAATAACAAAAGCACTTCTAAACCTACCGATAAAAAGTAAAAAAAAAAAACCTCAGTGTAAAAAAATATCCTATTTACTTTTATACTACTTCTGTTTTCGACTTACATTTTTTATTTAATGGTTGACTGTGTAATGCTGCGTTCGTGTACTCCCGTAACTCCAACACAGTCCAGGGTGTCTTAATATATTCTCGTGTACTGCAGAGACACATGAAAGAAATCATATAAACTATAAAATTTTCACTCGATTTTATCATATGTTTTTCAATAAATTAAAATCGAATGTATTAAAATTTTATATATTACTGGCGCTGAAATGTTACTATGTAGAATCCGTCACAACTGAAGACACTTGAAAGCAACGATCAAGGTCCTGTTTAATCAAACACCGATATTTCGATCGGAAGAAGAAACAAGCGTAAGAAACATTTTTAAACGCTCTAATTTTTACGTTTTGTGGAAGCTCTGTGTGCATTTTACAAAAAAACTGATTAATTTGTGCTTCCTAGAAAAGTTAGTCTGAAGCAAAGGGTAAAAATCAAAGACAATGTTTGGAACGATGTCATCTGTCATCAGAATGTGAATCAGAAGGTTTTATTGCCATAAGTGCAAGCAATCACAACATTAGGAAATTGCTGCGGTACTTGGTGCAAAAAGAAATATTAAAACAAGAGATAAGCAAATATATGAAGCAGGAATATACTCATGTTAAAATAACAATATAAATTAAGTGGCAATAATTCGAGAAGCGGCTGCTATATAGTGTTGGTACTGATCAGAGTGGATCAGTTCAGTTTGGATTGTCGTTTATGAGTCCAGCAGCAGAGGGGAAGAAAATATTCTTGTGGCGAGAGGTTCTAGTCCGAATGGATCAAAGCCTCCTGCCATATGGGAGCGAGTCAAAAAAATCTGTGTCCAGGATGAAGGTCAGTTGTGATCCTACCTGCAGGCCTCAATGTCCTGGATGTGTACAGGTCCTGTATGTAGGGGATTTTGCAGCCAATGACCATCTCAGCAGTGCGTACAACCCACTGCAACCTCTTTTTTCCCCTGATGGTAGCTCCAACATTCCACATGGTAACTGAATAGGTGAGGATAGACTTGATGACTGTAGTGTAGAACTGCCTCATCGACTGTGCTGGCAGGTTGAATTTCTTCAGCTGCCTCAGGAAGTTCATCCTCTGCTGGGCCTTTTTAATGAAAGTTCATCCTCTGCTGGGCCTTTTTAATGATGAAGGTGATAGTGGGCTCCCACTTGAGGTCTTTGGTGATGGTGGTGTATAGGAAGCAACATGAGTCCACCATAGTGATGGGAGTGGCAGACTCCCCAGACTGCTTTCTTAAGTCCACAACAACCTCTGCTGTCTTCTGGGCATTTAGCATCAGGTTATTGTGGCTGCATCAGGACACCAGCCGTTTTACCTCCATTCTGTAGGCAGACTCATCCCCGCCAGAGATGAGTCCGATGACAGTGGTGTTGTATGCAAACTTGATAAGCACTCGTAGTTGGAGGGGTAGCCATTGGTGTACAGGGAGAAGAGCCGAGGGGAGAGAACACTTCCCTGAGGGAAACCGGTGCTGATGGTTCACAGGTCAGGCATTCTTCCCCATACTGGCTTGTTGCTTCCTGTCTGTCAGTTATTATCATCATCATTAAACTAATGTGATGAAACCATAGACATAAATGACTGAAATAAAGAATGTCTATGCATGAAACTATAAAAATTCTATTTCCAGCAGAAATGTTTCTCTCATCCTTCCAAGCTCGGGTCCTCTACCAGAGGCCTGGGAGCTTGAGGGTTCAGTAACTTATGGGCCATTCCCATCTGTACCGGGTCGGCCCGGGCCGGGTAGCCCCAGTCGGCCCCAGCCTGGCCTGGTTGATTCCACACATCCTTGCCTTAAGCCCATGTGGGCTGATTCTACCCACCAATCAGAGGCTTGCTCTAATGGAAGGTGTGAATTTGCTGTCAGCAGTGGGTGTGTTGGCCCTGGTCGGCCTGAAGCAGACCCCCTCGAGAAGAGGGCTGAGAATGAGCCTTGGTTGGCCCGGAAAAATACCAGGCCACCCAGATATGTAAACAACCTACGCTACCCGGCCCGGGCCGACCCGGTACAGATGGGAATGGCCCATTAGCTGTTCCTAGAACTGCACTTTTCTGGACTGAGATGTCTGATGTTTTTCCTGGGATCTTCTTTAGCCACTCCTCCTGGGGATTACTGCCTCGATGACCACGGGCACCACCAATGTCTTCACTCTCCAGGCTTTCCCAAGTTCTTCACTGAGGCCCTGGTATTTCTCTAGTTGTTTGTGTTCCTTTTTCCAGATGTTACTTATTGCCACATAAACCAAAGAAGGAGCAATAGGGACCCCGACACACAACCTTGTGGAACACCATGGGAAAGATAGGTGGAAGAAGATCAAAACTTGGAAATAGTCACAGAAGATGAAAACTCTGACAGATTTGCTATAACAGCTTTAAGAGGGATATTTATGATAATTAAAAAATTAAATTATTAAAAGGAAATGAACCAGCATAAATTTGTAATTTCTAATCAAACATGTCAGATATAAGTTCAAGAAAAATAAATCCCCAGCTGCGTTTAATAAGCCCACACAGACGTTGATTATAAAATGGTACAATATTGTTTCTAATAAGAAAAACAAAATTCTGGGGGGATTCCACAATCAATGTACAAACTACTGAAATAAATAAAATAAAAACCAAATACAATTCGTAACAAAACAGAAATCCAGTTCTTGTTTATTGTTCGTTTTTGTCTAAATAAAATTTTGTTTTAATTACTTGTAATTGGTCAAATGATATAAGGATTTTAAATGTATTATTTAGGTCAACTGAATGGAAACACAAGGATATATTTTCCGCCCTCTGGCGGCCAAACGCAGTTACTACAGCCTAAACTAGATGGAAACAACACATCATGAATTTCTGTCGTATTTACACACCTCCCTTTTTACATGAATCAGTTACATACGTGTGCTGACTGGTTTAGGATAATTGCTAAATACATAAAATGGTTAAATATTCTGAAACGTGTTTGAAAAAAATCTTGTATCATTCCTATCGTGTGTTCCATTTTGTAAAAGTTAGCTTGTGTTTTTAAGGATAAATCTGTTTTAAATGGTAAAATACAGGTTTATAAAATACAACACTCTAAGTAAGTTCAAACTGACGTATGAGCTTACATTTTTACAGTAAATATAGTAATTTTCACGTTTCTGACTAGTGGTGATGCAGTTGCATTATTGTCCACAGGGCAGCGACACCAGCAAATGTGCTTCGCCACCACCAGACTTTGGAACTATGGGCTGCGCTACTGACGCAGAGCATGATGGAGCAAACTGGTGAGCCCCTTAACAACAACAGCAGCTCCACTAGCAATGTACCTTCTGCCTGCGGCCTGCACGGCAAACGTCTGAAAGAGCTGGAAAATGCCGCCCTGCAGACCACATTAATATCACAAATGGAGAGGGAATCCCGAGAAGATTCGGGGAGCTGGGCGGAACAGCAGTCCGGGCAAAGAGAGCAGTTGAACGGCTTGTCCTTGAATCACAGCTCGGCCCCGCGGCAGCTAAGCGCAGCTGACATGGAGGCGGACGTAGTGGGCATGGAGCCGGCGACGAACACGGCCAAGCAGCAAGTCGAAGAAGAAAGGACGCTGACGGACCATTTAAACAAACGACTGCTTTCGTCGTTTCTGGAAAAACTAAACGAGCGGGATCTGGCGCTGCCCGGGGTTCAGCGGCTGGACTGCGCCGTAGCCGACGAGGACTCGAACAGGGCCGCGGATGAGTGGTGAGGCGTCCGGGCTGATGGGAGCTGGAGCCACGATTCAGGACCAACGTGCACAGAAGCACAATCTGTCCACATTCAAGACAGAACTGTCATTATTTCACCAGAGATGAGAGTGCTTGGGAATGTTGGGTTTTCCTGGAATGCTTGAATGATGAAAAAATGCATTAAACATAAACAAAGTGATTAAAATGCGAATTGCTCTTTTTCAGCCTTTAATGGAGCTGCATTCATGAGTTTCCATCACCAGGTGTCAGCATCAACCTAACAATAAAATACTTTTGAACTACAAAGTATTTCTGAGATGGACTTTTAAGCTTATTTTTATTTTATGGATTTTTAGAACTGGAAGGGAGGAAAGAAAAATCCCAGTTTTTCTTAAAAATATTACCATAGGTACTTAAATCCAATGGCACCCCCAAGGAGTGGCCATGAAATTGCTGCCCCCCCCCCCCCCCCTCAGGAAAAGCCAGTGTTAATAAATCATTAATGTTCACTCAAACCATAAATTGATCTTATCTATTCAAGATGTAATTGTAAAGCAAAATAAATAATACAATTAATGAGTAAAGAAATAATCTGAATAAAAAAACATGTTTCTGCTGCTCACCATTTAAAAAAGTTTTTATCTCCATAGTTTTTGTGAATACAGCAACAGGTGAATTAAACAAAAAATACATTTTGAAATAACATTTTAAATAACTGAAATGTTTGTAAAATTTAAGTAATGTTTTGGATACGTACTGTTTTTTTTTATTTTAATAATAAAAACAAATAAAGGAGCAATGCAATACATCGTCAAAGGGTAAACTCTCCCAGAGTTACCACAAGGACCAATTTGGTGTGCCACCCCAAAAATGTCTTTGGCCCCGTCTGGCCACCCCCATCAAACATTTCTGGAGGCGCTCCTGCTTAAATCAGGCAGTAGGAGGCCAGATATTTGTTGGTTTGTCTTCCACAAATATTTAAGCAGTTAACAAGCAATTCTTCATATATGTGATTAAAATGACTACACACAATACATTTTAACAGATTGCTTTATTTTCAGTGAGACATTTCTCCATATATATCAAATTGGCAATTATTAAATACCAAGAATGTCCTTATTAAAAGGAAGTGTAATAGTGTTATATCTACAAGGTGGCAATGACAAAAAACTGCAGTGGTGGTAAATGCTGAAATACAACATAATATAAACAAACATCAAACTTAGTCTACAGTTACATGCATAAAGCATAAAAATTTGATAATTCCATTAACTTCAGATCTTTGTTACTGAGCAATAACGTAATTTGGATTTTTTTTTAAATTGTGTTTTTGTTCATATAAAAGTTGGTCAATTGCAAAACCTTAAAATACATGAACAAACAAACAAAAAAAACCCACCATGCTTAAAAATACTTTGCATTATACGGTTATTGCTACAATTATTAAATTCCTCCTGGCCACATGACTAGGAAATAAAAGACAGACTCTTTTTCAACTGACTCATTTTACCAGTTCCTTTCATGCAACTGTTGGCATGATGCAGGTGTGCTTAGTTCCAGAGAAATGGCACACAGAAGGATTACATGATAACATTTTCCAAAAAATATCTGATGCCAGCATGTGAAACTGTAAAAAAGCCACCAATCTAACTCAAATGGGGTGCAGATTGTTTTTGAAGCGACAGAATGTGGAAGGTAAAAACTTAATAGGAGAACAAGGCATGAAATGTTAATAGACTCTTCATCATTTTTTAGAGCACCTCTTCTTTGTTCATGTTCATCAAAGGAATCACCTGAGGTTTTTCGGGCATTCTGTCCTGAAAGGAAGGCAAGAAATTTCGTTAGAAAATAACACAACTGATGTAAATCCCTAGCCTCGTAAATGGCCGTTTTTACAAAACAATGTCAACCTGACCTCCAGTTCTAACGGAGAGAAGCTCCAGGAGCGCTGCATTGCTCCAGTTTGTTGTCTCAGCTGATTTTGTTTACAAAAACAAAACTTAGTGCCTGTATTTACTTTCATTTTCAATATAGTTGATGGCCAGAGCTCGACAGTAACTCCCCACATGATCATGACACCTCCTCCCTGCTGCATCATGGCGCAATAGTTGTTTATAAAACAGACCAGTACCGCAATATTACCACCAAGCGAGGCGGAACGAATGCCGCACAATTTGCGTTCATAAGACACACCGTTGCGGTAATATTATGCAGATATGCACATTTTTAGACTTGAAGACTCTCACACACACACAACCAACAATCAACCCCCATCTCTGAACTGAAAATAAAATTTGTATCTGTAATTAAAATCTACTGTTTTTAAGATATTACATTCATATATGCGTGGGCGATGGTGGCAGAGGTGTTAAATGCCTGCCCCGTAATCGGAAGGTTGCAGGTTTGAGCTGTGGAAAGCTGTGGCTACAATGTAGCTCATCATCACCAGTGTGTGAATGTGTGTGCGTGAGTGAATGACTGAATGTGTTATAAAGCACCTTGGGGGGTTGTAGAGCCCTAGAAGGCACTATATCAAATACAGACCATTTACCATTTTTACCATTTTTTGCTGATCACGTGACACCAGTGAAGCGTCGACTCTAGTGACGATTGGTTTGGCTGTGGTCACCAGGAGCTTCCCTGAGTTGTTGTTGAATTTTTACTGTTGAATTTTTTTACATTGAAATCTGTTGTTTAATTCTTGAAGATGTAATTCTGCAGTAGAATTTTTATGGATGATATTTCGTTGGTGTATTTTAAGTGAAAAAAATCAAATGCATAATTTAACAGAATAAGAATTCAGTCACAGAAATTCAAAGGCCACAAGATCATCATATTCTGGTGAACCCATATTTCTTCCATAGTTAAAAGTTTTTTCCCCATGCCCCATAGCCTAGTATGCATTGTCCATAAGTAAAGTTTTATAAATGAAGCCTCAGGTCTGTTGAGGGAAAGAAGGAGCTCAGCCAGAAAGCAAAGCTCCAGATTTACCTGTTGATCATCATTCCAGCCCTTACATCAGGTTATGAGCTTTGAGTAATGATAGAAAAAATACTTGGTGATACGAGTGAGGAGACTGAATAACGGGGGAGACTTGGAGTAGAGCCACTGCTCCACATGTTGAAGAGCCAGCTGAGATGGTCAGAATACCTCCTGGACGCCTCTATGGGGAGTTGTTTTAGTCATATCCTGTTGGTTGGAGGCTCCCAAGTCAATCCAGGACACGCTGGAGGGATTGTATTTCCAGACTGGCAGAGAATGCTTTGAGGTCTCACTGTTGCAACTGGAGGAGGTTGTTGGGCAGAGGGCAGTTTGGACCTCTCTCTCCATAACCAGAGGCCCAGACTTTCCTCTCCCCAGCCACTAGGGCCAACTCCTCTGGAGGAATCCCAAGAAGTTCCCTTGCCAAATGAGAAACATCGTTCATCCAGCATGTTCTGGGACTTCCTCACCAGGGAGGCATCCTAACCAGATGCTCAAGCTACCTCAGCTGGCTCCTTTTGATGTGCAGGAGCAGCGGGTCTACACCGAGCCCCTCCCTGAGGACTGAGATTCTCACTCTATCTCTAGAGGAGAGCCCAGATACCCTGCGGAAAAAACAAATTTTTGCCGCTTGTATCTGCCATCTCATTCTTTGGGTCACTACCCAAAGCTCGTGAGGGTAGGACCGTAGATTGACCGGTAAATCGAGAGCTCCGCCTTCCAGCTCAGCTCTTTCTTCACCAACAGACCAGTAGAACACTTATAAAAATGCTACCAGAAGCCTTGTATAAAATGAAAATACACTAAAACTCGAAGAGCAAGAGGAGTCCTTTAACTTGTGTTCAAGTTCATCGGGTTTACAGTTATTATAATTCTGAACAACATAAATCTTATAAGTCCAAAATTTGAAGAAAAACAGAGTGCCACCACCTACTCTGTGTTGTGATGGGATCTCCTCTTTCTTTTTATTCAGGTCCCACCACAGTAAACCCTCTTTAATCTGACTCCTTTTTGTCGGTCCTGTGTTATGAAGAAACAACTCCATTTGCTTTTGCAGCATTGTAGTGACAAGTATTTTGACACAGTGTTTTTACCTGTTGCATAGCTCACTACCAGTCCAACCAGTACAACTGTACTGGTGGCCATGGCTCCAAAGTAGAGGTAGGATGTGGAGTAGAAGTTAAAGATCCCACTAGTTTGTTTTTGTTTGGGAGATGGTGAAAGAGAGGAAAAAAGAGTATCAAAAGAAAATTAATAGAAGTATTATTTGAACCATTTGTGCATTATTGTGCATTTATCATTATTTAAAGACCAAGTTCACTGACAAACCATTTTTTACTTGTTAGTCTTGAAATAAGATGAGTAACTCTGAGTTTCACATGCAGGCTAAACATGAAAATAGACTTCTGTACCTAATTCCTGCATTAGCCGCTGATGGAAAATAGACAGGGAAACTCTCGAATTAGAAAAGCCAGTGACAAATGAACGTCACATTGTGAACTTAGCATTCACAAACTCACCCATCATTGCTCGCAACGCGACGGGGAAGGCTGTTATTGATTTAGGCTCACGGAGAAAGCAGAGCATGACTAGCAAATAGGATCTGTGGTAAAGTCACTTTGCTGTTAGTGAATCAGAGGTGAGATGACCGAATATCAGGAAATAAGACTTCAAAACCTGACTAATCTGCTCACCTCTCCTTTGGTTCACTTCTAGTTCCTGAAACAGGAGCACCAGAGGTTAATTCCCAAACAGATCAAACTGACAAGGCATTCGATTATACTAGAGACCACTGCAAATATGTTGGAAAAATAAGTGAACTTGGTCTTTTGTACTTGAAAATGGAAAAAAGAGCAAATCTAAGATAATTGAGCTTAAAAATTAAAATGTGTGTAGTTGTAAACAATTAATCTGACTAACCGCTTATCATTGGGATGTAGAACGGTTGAAATGGATTTTTGTTTTTGGTTAGAGTTGTGGCTCATCGTAATGTTAGCGAGGCTGCAGCTTCCGGTGAAGCTCGGCAAAACACCCATTGTTTCCTCACTGGGTGGGTGAAGAGTTGAACCTACAGCCAGCCACAGAGACACACAGAAGCCCACCAATATCCCCGAGAATGCCCCCTAGAATAAAACGAATACTTAAATTGCAATAATCTGTTAATCTTTTTTTTTCTGTAAACAAAAGGAACAGACTCTGAAATAATCACTTCAAGATGAAAGTCAGAGGAAAATAAAGGTTCTTAATTTTTGGAGATAATTGAGTTACCAGTGACTCACCAGCCTATTTGTAGCAGGGATAAACATTCCCAGAATGAAAACACCCAGTAATGGCCCACTGACAACACCCATGACAGTGAAAGAACCCTGAACAAAGATGACAAAACAAAATCAGAGAATCACTAAATGTTCTTCTACAATGCAAGAAGACCCTTTTCACTGTCAGTTTCATTTATATAGCATTTTTATTACAATCAAGGTTGCTCCAAAGTGCTTTACAGCAGCACTACAACAACTTATTATACATTGCATATAAAACAATACACAAGGACATGAGGGAGGTACTGGGGCTTAGGGTAATCCATCTAACTGGGGTCAAAAGCCAGCGTTCAAGTGGGTCTTTAAGAGGTCTTTTTAAATATTTGAGGTCCTTAGATGATCAACTGTGGAGAGGTAGATTGTTCCAGAAGTTAAGGGAAACAACCGCAAAGGCACGGTCACCTATGCTTTTTTATCTGAATCTGAGAATGGCATCCTGGGAACGGGTTCTAGCAGAAGAGTGGAGCTAAGCCTGACTGTGAAGAGCTTTAAATACAAACAAGACCTTGATGTCCAGGAGTCCAGAATCAGAAGTGAAACAGAAAATCTTAAGTCAAGCTTCTCTGTTGCATCAATTTTTCCATGAAATCAAATCTACAGTTAGCCAAGAAATCTAGAAGGGCAGTAACAGAAGCAAAAAGATTTTGCTCTGTATGGTCTAGCCATGCTCCATTGGAACCTTTGCAGCCCTGACCAGTCTGGTGGAGGTTCAATCACAGCGCTCTGTTGATTTGGTGGGCCAATCGCTTCCTTGGTGGGCAGGATGTTACTGCGATTGGGCAAAACTAAGATGGGGACAGCTCGTTGGAAACGGCTTTGGCATCAACTTTGGATTATTTTAGACGTGGACGTTTCTTTCAGTTGAGCAAATAAAGGTACTTAAGTCCTTTATTTATAAACAGGATGTATTTGTATCTTCTTCGACAGTGTATGGCGGACTTTCCCGTTGACTGACATCTGTAGCGGTGAGTACGTCACCTTGTTTGTTGTCCAGTAGCATGCTGACAGTTTGAAAGACAACCGAAGAGTCCGCCCCACGAATGAGATCCCTCAATGGGTCGTGTCTCGACTATATATTCACATATATGGGATGGCAGGCTAATCTACAGTAAAAATACTTGAAAGTATTTGTTTTTGATCTCTTAAAGGTTTAAAGTCTGTTTACCTGAAGAACTCCCCAGCTCAGGAAGGAAGACAAAACAGCCACAGTGATACACCCGATTCCATAAAGGATTGCTTAGAGAAAGCAAGAGAGCACATATTATATAAATCATTCCATTTGAAAATATCTCAATGATGCTGTCAAAAGCATGGGCCATTTTACAAAAAAAACAACATGGGATAGATAAAAAATACTACATGCTAACCTGAGAGAAAAGCTGAAAGCATTCTGGAATAGTAATGAAACTCAAGCCCATTTATTAATCCAGTCAGAATTCAAACAGTCTTATGGATTTTGACATTTGCAGCCAGTGAAGACATGAAAGCTACAGATTTGAGTGAGGTGTCATTTAAAGGTCAAAGACTCCGGCTTTATTGAAAAATGGAGTTTAAATGTAGTTACTCTAAATTGTTTATGACGCAAAGTTGTATGGAAAACAACTGATAGCCTAAAACAAAAACTGGTAAATAAAAAGACACTTGACGAGGTTGGGTGGAATCACAGAATGAAAAACCTACAGAGTCCTTTGGAAACAAGGATCAGTTTCTTCTGCGTCATGTGGAGCAGATGGGGTCGCAGCACATCCTCCAAGGTCACTGCAGCCATGGCATTGATACTCGTGGAAACCGTGCTGTTAAAAATAACAAATAACCACCAGTAATCTCACATCTTGAGCTCAGCTGCACAAACATATTCCAGTGTTACATAAAACTATGAACCAAATTCTAATCTCTTTTGCATAGATGAAAACGTGAAATACGGAGCAATGCAACTATAAGCAAAGATTTCTGCAGGCTTCAACATAAAGGAAGTCAGAAATCTGATAAGTGACAGGAAACCATAGAAAATGTTCCTGTTTGCTGTTAGATTAAGACCTCACCTACTAACTACATCTTCACTCACACACTAAGATGCAAAACATGTAAACACTTGGGGAAAAATAAGAGTGACTTTATGGTCCATGTCTGAAATAATGTCCACTACTGGCTTCCTGTATTGAGGAAACGTTTGACTAATGTTAGATGAATAGAAACTAAAATGAAGTGAAAATACCTCAAAGTTCCACTAAATGCACAGGCGATGAAAAGACCTGGAAAACCTGGATGGCTTCGGAATATGTCCATCACAAAGAATGGCATGTACTTCATCAGAAATAAATGTAAAAAAAGAAATGTGGATATTTAAAATTACAAAAAACATTTTAGTTTTGCCACATCATAGCTCATTTGCTAACCTAAAGATATGGATGAACTTGGAAAAGAAACCTACTGAGAAATTTCCTCAGTCGGACTGTAACATTAAGATAATCTAAAAACAAGAGCTGGAACACCAATAAATAATGCATCAATGGATCTGGCACTCAAAGATTACTCAAAACCTACAATCAGGGTAAATCCAAAAAAATCAGTTCATGTGTCCTTGTCCAGAGAACTTTTGTGTACCATATCGGGTGCAGAAATCTTCCCAGAGTTCAGCGGATCACAGTAGTTGTAATATGCAAACATAACAATGCCGCAGGTTGCTGCACTGCTCACAATGAGGCACAAACCCACTTGATTCACAAATAGAGCCCTGGAAAGGAAACATTAAAGTAAATGAGATTTATTTATAGACTTCACTCAAAATAAACCAATTTGCTGATGATATATTGGTTTGCAAGACATTGTGAATGGGCCATTAGTTAACAAACCAAACATGGAAGTAGTTGTTTATTTTCATACTTTTGAATTTAACCGTTTTTGGCCAAAACAAAAGTAGTATCCATGACTCCATTAAGTTTTTTAACATATTGTTACTGTGACGCATGGTATTGGAGCCAGTCATACAAAATCCAGTCATGTTTAAATTTGTAAAACATTTTTTGAGTCATAAATGTAGTAGAGTTACATATGTTAAAAAGTGAACGTAGAGTCACTCGTTTTAGCATTACCGACTTATGGTCGGCTCTGGCTTTGGTGAGTTGTGGTGTACCTCAAGTATGTGTCCTTGGCCCCATTCTAAACACACTCTGTATACAAGTCAACACTCACAACTGGGCCTCTCGCTCTGTTCGACAGGAGATGTAGCGCTGAACCTGTGCTTGGTTCACACCGTACATGGACAACCAAACCAATGAACCACCAACAGAAAGGCTCCAAAAAGTGTAACGTTTCTGTGGATCAATGTCAAAACTGTGGGGAAACATCAAATACATCTGTTAATGTAGCACAACACAAATTAAATCAAGAATAACAGATTTTATAAGTATAAAATGATTGTTTATTGACTATAATGCAATGCAACTTAAAATGGAGAACACAATGCGATTTACAGTGAGCTCAGTTATCGTCGTCGTCGTCTTCCTCCGCTTATCCGGGTCCGGGTCGCGGGGGCAGCATCCCAATTAGGGAGCTCCAGGCCGTCCTCTCCCCGGCCTTGTCCACCAGCTCCTCCGGCAGGACCCCAAGGCGTTCCCGGACCAGATTGGAGATGTAACCTCTCCAACGTGTCCTGGGTCGACCCGGGGGCCTTCTGCCGGCAGGACATGCCCGAAACACCTCCCCGGGGAGGCGTCCAGGAGGCATCCTGACCAGATGCCCAAACCACCTCAACTGGCTCCTTTCGATCCGGAGGAGCAGCGGTTCTACTCCGAGTCCCTCCCGAATGTCCGAGCTCCTCACCCTATCTCTAAGGCTGAGCCCGGCCACCCTACGGAGGAAACTCATTTCGGCCGCTTGTATCCGCGATCTCGTTCTTTCGGTCATTACCCAAAGCTCATGACCATAGGTGAGGATTGGGACGTAGATCGACCGGTAAATCGAGAGCCTGGCTTTCTGGCTCAGCTCCCTCTTCCCCACGACAGATCGGCTCAGCGTCCGCATCACTGCAGACGCCGAACCAATCCGCCTGTCGATCTCCCGATCCCTCCTACCCTCACTCGTGAACAAGACCCCGAGATACTTAAACTCCTCCACTTGAGGTAGGACCTCTCCCCCGACCCGGAGGTGGCAAGCCACCCTTTTCCGGTCGAGAACCATGGTCTCAGATTTGGAGGTGCTGATCCTCATCCCAGCCGCTTCACATTCGGCCGCGAACCTACCCAGCAAGAGCTGAAGGTCAGAGCTGGATGAAGCTAGGAGGACCACATCATCCGCAAAAAGCAGAGACGAGATTCTCCTGCCACCAAACTCGACACACTCCACACCACGGCTGCGTCTAGAAATTCTGTCCATAAAAGTGATGAACAGAACCGGTGACAAAGGGCAGCCCTGGCGGAGTCCAACCCTCACTGGGAACAGGTCCGACTTACTACCGGCTATGCGGACCAAACTCACGCTCCTCTGGTAAAGGGACTGAATGGCCCTTAACAGAAAGCCACCCACCCCATACTCCTGGAGCGTCCCCCACAGGGTGCCCCTGGGGACACGGTCATAAGCCTTCTCCAAATCCACAAAGCACATGTGGATTGGTTGGGCAAACTCCCATGCCCCCTCCATCACCCTTGCAAGGGTATAGAGCTGGTCCACAGTTCCACGGCCAGGACGAAAACCACATTGCTCCTCCTCTATCTGAGATTCAACTATCGATCGGACCCTCCTCTCCAGTACCTTGGCGTAGACCTTTCCAGGGAGGCTGAGGAGTGTGATCCCCCTATAGTTGGAACACACCCTCAGGTCACCCTTCTTAAAGATGGGGACCACCACCCCGGTCTGCCACTCCCTAGGAACTGCCCCCGATGACCACGCAATGTTGTAGAGACGTGTCAACCATGACAGCCCTACAACATCCATAGCCTTGAGATACCCAGGACGAACCTCATCCGCCCCCGGGGCTCCGCCGCTGTGTAGTTGTTTGACTACCTCAGCAACTTCTGCCCCCGAGATCGGACAGTCCATCCCCAGGCCTCCCAGCTCTGGTTCCTCCTCGGAATGCGCATTGGTGGGATTGAGGAGCTCCTCAAAGTATTCCTTCCACCGTCCGACTATAGCCTCAGTTGACGTCAGCAGCTCCCCATCCCCACTGTAAACAGTGTGAGCGAGTTGCTGCCTTCCTCTCCTGAGGCGCCGGACAGTTTGCCAGAACCTCTTTGGAGCCGATCGATAGTCTTTCTCCATGGCCTCACCAAACTCCTCCCACGCCCGAGATTTTGCCTCGGCAACTGCCACTGCTGCACCCCGCTTGGCTATCCGGTACCTGTCTGCTGCCTCCGGAGACCCACAGACCAGCCACGCCCTGTAGGCCTCCTTCTTCAGCCTGACGGCTCCCCGAACCTCTGGTGTCCACCAGCGGGTACGGGGGTTGCCACCACGACTGGCACCGGCCACCTTACGACCACAGCTAGCAACAGCCGCCTCGACAATCACAGAGTGGAACAAGGCCCACTCGGACTCAATGTCCCCCACTGCTCTCGGGACGTGGTCAAAGCTCTGCCGGAGGTGGGAGTTGAAGACCGTCTTGACAGGTTCTTCTGCCAGGCGTTCCCAGCAGACCCTCACTATGCGTTTGGGTCTGCCAGGTCTACGCGGCATGTTCCCTTGCCATCTGATCCAACTCACCACCAGGTGGTGATCAGTTGACAGCTCCGCCCCTCTCTTCACTCGGGTGTCCAAAACATACGGCCGCAGGTCAGATGATACGACTACAAAATCTATCATCGACCTGTGACCTAGGCTGCCCTGGTACCAAGTGTACCGGTGGGCATCCTTATGTTCGAACATGGTGTTCGTTATGGCCAAACTGCGGCTTGCACAGAAGTCCAATAACAAAACACCGCTCGAGTTCAGATTAGGTGGGCCGTTCCTCCCAATCACACCCCTCCAGGTCAAGCTGTCATTGCCCACGTGAGCATTGAAGTCCCCCAGCAGGACAATGGAGTCCCCTGATGGAGCACTATCTAGCACTCGTCCCAGGGACTCCAAAAAGGGTGGGTACTCTGAACTGATATTTGGCCCATAAGCACAAACAACAGTCAGGACCCGTTCCCCGACCCGAAGGTGCAAGGAAGCTACCCTCTTGTCCCCCGGGGTAAACCCCAACACACAGGCAGAGAGTCTCGGGGCTAACAAAAAGCCAACCCCAGCCCTCCGCCTCTCACCCGGAGAAACTCCAGCAAAGTAGAGTGTCCAACCCCTCTCCAGGTCTCGGGTTCCAGAGCCAATGCAATGTGTCGAGGTGAGTCCGACTATATCTAGCCGGTACCGCTCAACCTCTGCCCCAAGCTCCGGCTCCTTCCCCGCCAGCGAGGTGACGTTCCATGTCCCAAAAAGTAGTTTTCTTGTCCGGGGATTGGACCGCCAAGGCTCCCGCCTTGGTCTGCCACCCGATTCGCATTGCACCGGACCCTTCATGTTCCTCCTGCGGGTGGTGGGTCCACAGTTGGACGAGCCCATGTATCCGGTTCGGGCTGGGCCCGGCCGGGCCCCATGGGCGAAAGCCCGGCCACCAGGCGCTCGCTCACGGGCCCCAACCCCAGGCCTGGCTCCAGGGTGGGACCCCGGTAACCCTCCGGGCCGGGTACTCCGACTCTTCGTTTTAACCGCCATGAAAGATCCTTCGAACCGCTCCTCCTTGAACCGTCACCTTATCGTGGTGGAGGAGTTTGAGTGCCCTAATGATCCTAGGAGCTACGTTGTCTGGGGCACTTAGTGCCCCTGGTAGGGTCTCCCATGACAAATTGGTCTTAGGTGAAGGGTGAGACAAAGAACGGTTCGAAGGATCTCAGTTATCCTAATATGAATTATTTTGGTGTGCAGGAGGAAACCCGGGAGCACCCAGAGAAAACCCACACATGCATGTGGAAAAAATGCAAACTTCAATAAAATCTGCAGAAAGTCTTTAGTGTTTATTGGAAATGAATAATTCAGATCAATGTAAACCTCATTAATGTGTGGAAAATTAATTTACTCATGAAAATTTATGCGTGATCCATTGTAAGCGATCTTCAGCACTTGTGCAGGACCGCCAACCAGAATTGTGCCATGGACATAAATAGCCATGAAGCCTGCCAACATGATGACAATCTGAAACACATCAGTCCAGATTACACCTTTAATGCCTCCCTGTTGAAAAACAAAAACACAAAAGTAAGATAATCAGAACAACATTGTGAACAGAATTTCCCCTTTTATCTTGAGTTAAAGTGTTAAAAATGATGTCTTAGTTTTGTTGTGATCAAAAATATTTAACTTTAATCAAATGCCTTTTGTAAAAGTTTTCATGAGTTGTGGGTCTTGGTTTTTGTGCCTTTTTAATGAGTTTTTAGTGAAGAAAGGTTTGTGCTTTTGTTGAGAGTAAACATTTTGTCAAATGACAGGGGAAAATATGCATATAAAGAAAAATCTAGTTCTATTTCCAAACAAAGTATTGTTCCAACATCCCATTCTGGTTTTATCAGATGAGTGTGACCATGTTCTCACCAGTGTGGTGTACACTGTGCAAATGATCCCAGTTGAAAACAAAGACATCCACATATTCAGTCCAGTGGCTGCAGAAGTAAAAAGATTTATTTTTATCTTAACAGAATTGTTATTTCATAAAACATATTTTAACAAAATCCAGAACTATCTGAATAGTGGCTTTTAAAGGTTTCAAGTAAGTTAGTAAAGTTCTATCCATCATTCTTAAAACAGGGTGAAAGCAGTTTAAACAGTTAACTAAAATTCCTTTAGCTAATGTGCTTGATAATTGTTAAACTCTCCATCCATTTATCTGCCAGTCCCAGGGGCGACGGTGGGACAGGAGTTAAGTGCTCACCTTGTAATCAGAAGGTTGCAGGTTTGAGCCCCGCTCAGTCTGTCGAAAGTCATTGTGTCCTTGGGCAAGACACTTAACCCACCTTGCCTGCTGGTGGTGGTCGGAGGGACCGGTGGCGCCTTGGTGGAGTTCTGCTCTCACTGGAAATGAGCAAGACTTACTGCCGGGAATGCGGATCAAGCTTTCACACCAATTGTACAGGGCCCCAAGTTCCTGTATCAAGGGGCCAGGTAACCCACACTCTCTCACAGGACTCCACTAGAGACAAGGTAAATGGCTTGTGTTTGTATAGCGCATACTTTAGGTTCTACAACCCCCCAAGGCGCTTAACAACACAATAAGTCATTCACACACACAGTCACGCTGGTGGGGATGAGCTACGAAGTAGCCACAATTGCCCTGGGGTGCACTGACAGAGGCGAGGCTGCCAAGCACTGGCGACACCGGTCCATCCAACCACCAGCAGCAGGCAAGGTGGGTTATGTGTCTTGCCCAAGGACACAGCAGCATTATTCTCTGGTCAGAGTCGGGATCGAACCTGCAACTTTCCGATTACAAGGTCTTTAAGTCCACAAAACACAAGTGGATCAGTTGGGCTAACTCCCTCTCAACCTCCAGGACCCTGCCAAGAGTATAGAGCTGGTCCAGTGTCCCAATACCTCTAACTCATGTCATCAATAATCTTCTTGCACAGCTATGTTCCATTCTCATACCTTGGTTTAGGATCAAGGCTGGTGCATAAAGGACAATCCCCGTGTAAAGCAGCTGAGAAAATAAGAACACAAGCAAATCAATAGCCATCCAGAAAATAACATTACAACTAGCAAAGTTTAATATTTTCTTCAGAAACAATAAAGTCTTTGAACTTTGATGAACAAATGCTGATTGTACCGTTGCAAGGAGAAACTGGAGACTTCCCAACAGCTGCATCCCTTTGCCAAATCTCATCTTCAGATACTGTGACAGGCAGATGGTTGGAGTCAAGACATCATAAAGCTTCTCTGCAAACATCACTCATCTTTCTACACCCTCTTAATTTGCTGTGTTTGAACCACTGAGGAATTTAATCTGGTTCAGAACAATTCTGAACCTAACTCTACACTGGAATGAGTTAGAATTTAAACATTTTTGCTATATTAGTGCATTAGAAGCAAATAGTAATGGTTAATTTAACAAAAGACACATGGAACCTGATTGGTGCTGATGATGCCCAGTCGAAAGAAAACAGGCAAAAACAGGTAAGCAGTCAGCAAGGAGTTGATGCTTTGTCCAAGACACATGTAGAGGAATTTGAAGCCGAAGCGATAACTTTCAGAGGGAACACCCAGAACCTGGACTGCTGACATGAAACTGGCACAGAGCGACAGCCCAACAGGCACAGCTGGCATGCTCCGACCACCAGTGAAGAAGGCTTCTGCTGGGGTGTCACTTCGCTTATTCTTCAGGGCTTGGAAAAGTCCTATCGCCATGGAAACTAACAACATGGCAGCAAAGACAGTGTAGTCGGCCTGTACAAAAACAGGTCTGAATAACTCAGCGGACGAATGCTCCTCCATTTTCTGCTTCTGCTGGATCCAGATGTTTAAAAGATCTGTCAAGGTGATTTAGAGTTCATTAGGGACTGATTACGTCAGTTTATTTAAGTGATATTTGAATTGGATTTAAAAATCCACAAAGATGAATTTTTTTACATGTTCAAAGTAAAAAAAGAGGGAACAAATCTGTGAAATTATTTTGTTGTCAACATGATCAAAAATTAACCCAAATAACAGAAAAAAGCTAAATATCAAACAAAATATGAATGACAGAAAGATAAATCTTGAATTTTAGAAAGATGGCAAACATTACTTGACTGGATGTTTTATTATGAGAACAATTTGAACAAATTTTCTTCTTTAACCTCTTTGAAAAATCTGCTTTAGCTATGCTTTAAATGTCTGTTTCCTCATCTTCAGAACTAAACATTTATTATTATTTTTTAGTAAAATAAGAAGACTTGAAAGGCTATGGAACTGATACAAATCATGTAACCCCAAAGAGTATTTTTTTCAGTGTATGACTGAAGTTTTGCATTGTTTAAACTCAGGATGTGTAATAATTGTCCCTCAAACAATCAGAGAAGATATTAATCACTTGATCTCAACATGTACATTTTTAGAAGGTTGAATATGAATTTTAAAATATCTGTTTAAAACTGCTCCTGTTACCTATTGCATTCACTTCAGTAACAAAATTCATGACAACAACTCTTTATGAATAATATTGTGTTTTTTTCCTTCATTAGATTATCATTTATTTAAAGATTTATGATACATGAACATCTAATTTACATTTTCTTCGAGTTAGTTTAGGTAAAAGTTATCTCTATTCCTGAACAACAAAGTCATTTAAAATCAGAAATTTAAATAAATATTTCAGACTCACCTCAGCTCCAACATTCAGCTAAATCCGGTCAGTGAAACAGGAATGTGCTGACAGTCCTCTCCAATCTCACATCCACACCTCCTCTGCATCATGTTTGTGTGTGTGTGCCTGCGCATGTGCATGTGTTTGTGTGTGTGTGCGTGTGTGTGTGTGTTTCCAGGTAAGCACTCAGGTGCTTAAGATGAGAGGGTGAATTGGTTTGAAGGGTTTACAGACCCAATCAGAAATGAACTTTTCTCTATCTCAGCTTCTGTTGGGTTGATTAATATATTTATAATATTTATTTAACACACAAGAACATGAATCAGACCCAAGTTGCAGAAATAATTAAAGTCTGAGAGATTTAATTTCATGACACATGTCAAAAAATGGGACAAAAAGAGTTTTGTGTTTGTTACTGAATACGTCTTCTCAACAAAAAATAAAAAAAATCATAAATGTGGTACAAAAAAGTTAACTCAAAAACCCAGTGGGTCGCAGCAGATGGGTGCTCATACCGAGCCAGGTTGTGTTGGAGTTTTCTTCCTGTTAAAGGGGAGTTTTCCTCTCCACCATCACTACATGCTTGCTTAGTATGGGGATTGCTGTAAAGTCTATGACTCAAGTCAGTGACTCGGTGCAATCTGCTGAGTTTAAAGATTAAAGTCCCAACAGTTGTCACACTGGTGCGAGAAATTTGTTCCTGGGGGAACGGTGAGCTGCAGACGCAGCTGCGTTCAGGAAACATAAGGTGGTTCAACCCCCCAATCCAGCCCCTTAAAGCTGAGTGTAAAGCGAGGAGGCATTGGGTCCCATTTTTAAGTCTTTGGTGTGATCCAACCAGGATTTGGACCCTAATGTCTAAGTCCCAGGGTGGGCACTCATACCACTAGGCCACTGAGCTTGTCCTTCAATAGGAAACTTTGAAACTACGTAAATTGCACTATGATAAATAAACTGAATTGAAATGATGATCCCAGCTTCCTGATGACCCAGCAATAGAAATAGGACATCCCATCAGTCTTATCAGCCTTTTTATTTATTTTTTCTTTATTTAACCTTCATTTAACCAGGATAGAGACCCACTGAGGTTAAGAACCTCTTTTACAAGGGTGTCCTGGCCAAGAGGCAGCAAAAATACAAACAGTTACAACATAATGGCAATGATAAAACACTCAATCATTAGAAGCAGTTACAAGTTACTAATGCAGTCTCTGACTTTCAGTTTGGTTTTGAAGGCATTTAGTGAAACCTGCTCAGTCATTTTCCAGGTTTTCTGCAGCTGGTTCCAAGCAGAAGGAGCAGAGCAGGCGAAGGCTTTCTTTCCTAACTGTGTGTGAGCAAAAGGAACAGAAAGTAGCAACTGATCGTTACACCTTAAAGAATGGGAATCAACATTTTTTCGTGTGATTAATGATCAAATTTAAGGAGGTAACAATCCAAACACTGCCTTGTAAATAAAAACATACCAATGATTTTGTCTTCTAATTGCCAATGATGGCCATTTCACTCGTGAATATAATTCGCAGTGATGTGTTATGGCTCTACAGTTTGTGATGAATCTCAGAGACGCATGGTAAACCGAGTCCAGTTTTTGTAGCACAGTTAAAGAAGCATTCATATATACAGTATAAGATCACCAAAATCTAGTACAGATAAAAAGGTTGTAGTGACAAGTAGCTTTTTTCCTTCAAAAGAAAAACACGACTTATTACGAAAGTAGAAACCCAGCTTGAGTTTTAATTTTTTCACCAGTTTAACTATATGAGATTTAAAGGTAAGGCAGTTATCTATCCAAACACCTAGGTACTTATACTCATGGACCATCTCTATGACTTTCCCTTCCAATGTGATTACTTCAGGAACACTATTTGGCATTTGCCTCTTTGTAAAAAACATCAACTTAGTCTTCTCAGCATTAAGGGTTAGCTTTAGCTGATGTAATGAGTGCTGGAAAAGGAGTGGCTGGTTCATGGTTATATCTTACCATAATGCTGCAGGTTGGAACTGCTGGTTAGCCCTAATGCACAATTTAAACCTCACCGCATTTAAAACATGAGCAACCTAACTGAGTATAAAATCCTGGCTGTTAAATAATGTTCTCCCTCTAGATAAGGAGGAGGTTCGTAATTGATCCCTCGCATTGTTACATCAAATCCACCACAAAAACATGTGGGGGGACTTATAATGGTCGTCTGCCATGCTTTTCTCTAGAGCAATCTCCTTTCCCTACTTTGCTGGTCTATCTGCATCAGATTCCTTGTCTGACTTGACAGGTTTAGATGCTGTTGGCATAAAACTGGATCAGAATCATCGGCGATGCCACCAACAATGACGAGCATTTATACATGTCTTGTTCACAACATGTGATTTTAGTCTAAACTAGAACAGGAAACTGCCTTTCTAAATAGAGGAAGCCACAGCTGTCAGCTAGGTTTCTTTTCCTATAATTTTACACCCATCCATTTCTTCAAAATAGTGCTTTTGTTTTTTCTAAATTGCATCATCTGTCTGATTCTACATTAATCAGTTTAAATAATCTTCTTAAAATCAGATCTGGATGAAGCAGGTTTACTTAACTCAGAGTTTTTTTAAAACTAACTTGTAGGTTCTGCAAAGTTTAAGTTGTTCTGTGAGGAAACCTGGGCATGTGTTGATCTTCACATTTTTTAATAAATAGGACAAATGTTCTCAGCTCCACTCAAATCTTTAATGCAAATAACAGCTTAAAAGGTTTGCAATGACAAGTTTGCTAAAGTTAAATTTTATAGGTAACATTAATCGTTTCAAAAATACTGTAAGAAAGATTTCATGAAGACCTTAAATAAACAGAAAATAATAGTGTGTAACCTGTACAGGAGACATATCAGACTGTCTTTCTGTCCGTGAGAATAAAAACCGTTTCTCAACTTGTTACGTCAGCTTGTTAAAATCAGGAAATCACATAGAACTTCCTGTCAACACACCCAGACACACAGAAACACACTCTGAGAATGAAAACGCAGAAGTTACAAAAAGAGGGAACAATTTAACAAAGTCCGGACCGTAGTCGTCTGTATTTGAAGGTAACAGTTCAAACAAGGGACTTTAATATCAGACATTACTTTAGACCTAAAACTGTGTAGAAAACTGGTTTTACTTGCCATGCTGAGAAATGTAAGAGTTCGTTTTTGTAAAGATATAATAATTTCAGTTTTTTATTGTTTATAATTTTGCTCTACTCAAGTTTGAATTTAAACTTCATCCTGATGTCCTCATAAACACTAATGCTTTGATGTGAAAGTACTTAACTATATTGTTATATGTATAATGATTGATTCTATAACCATGGAAATGCTCCTATGGAAATATGAAACATTATAAGACAAGATTACAATGTTTTTTTCTATATTTTACATTTTGTTACATATGGTTCCTGATTAGTGATAGAATAACATGGCGAGCAGTGTTGAGAGGTGCTTTGGGAATCCCCTCAAATTTATTTATAACCTTTACATTCATTATTAATTTTATGAGGCGCTAGAAAGTTCAGGTTTGTTAACAACACTGTGATGTTGCATTCACCTCATTCTATACAAGCTAGACCTTCTGACCTTTAAATGCAAAAATTTGTCAGAAATCCAGACTTCACCCTTAAAGGAAAAATTATAACTTAGTACTTGGTTTATTCAGGCGATTCTCTTAAAAGGGCAGTAGAACGTAAAGCCACATTTTCAGTGTTGGTGAATAAAAGCAGCTTGGGTGGTCAAATGTAGCAAAACAACACAGCTGTGTCGACCTGTTTTCTACGTAAACAAATCATCTTGGAAAGGCAAACGGAGAGACAGATGACTCTAGAAAAGCTTCTGATAACACGAAATAAGCTAAGCTACAGTCACACCTGCTTACATCTGCATACTCGAACCAACTTCAACGTCACCATATAAATGCTGGCCGCAGTAACGCTAACCGAGATACTTCTAACGCTAACCTGTGCGTCTAACACAAGGCCAAGTTACTGCTAACACTGGCCTGAGCTGCTAAAGCCCACACACATTCACAGAGATGTTTTGCTCTCGGACTTCTCTGTCTCCTGGGGAGTGTTGCAAAGTAATTCCCCACCAGGAGGACCTAGCGCTTTTCTGGGGTATCCTATGATGTATCCAGTCCAAGATAGTGCATTTGCTATTGTGTTTGTATTGTGTTTTTCTGAGACTTTTTAACACGGCAAATTTGTCCCTCATTCTCCTCCATTGCTTCATGCACTCGCCACCTCTAAACACATGATTCCCGTTATTTCCATCCAAGAATAAAACACTTGCTGCATATCTTTTTAATGATCCAGTCACGGGTGAATAAAACGTGCAAATTTTTTAGAGTTTTTCCACGAGGACTTCTTCAAGCTGCTTCGTGTCTGCCGCTAGATATCTTCAGCTCTCTTTATGTTTTTGAGGGCACAATGGCAGTGCTGTTGATGAAAGCGGCGTCCTGACCAATCACAAGCCTGCATTCTCTGTCTCTTTCGATGGATGTTTAGAAAAGTTGTCCTTACGAGCCTACTAGAGAGCCCTCACAAGGAAGGATAACAATGTTGCGTGTGTCCACACCGACGCAGAAGCATAAACTAGGCTAAACACTCTGTGTTGGACAAGAGGTGCATGCTCACCTTCCAGGATGTACTGGGAATGTTCAGATTATCAACAAATTCCAGATAAATCCATAGCTTGTGGGCCTCATCACTTCGTCCATTACTCGTCAACACTATTGTACCACGCATGCCTAACTTGACCCATAATAACTGACACTGAGCCCTACACGCACGCACGCATGCACGCACGAAGGCACACACACACACACACACACGCACGTACGCACGCACGCACGCACGCACACACACACACACACACACACACACACACACACACACACCATCTCCAGCCTATGTTTAACTGAAACAGCTGAAACACATTTGTTGTCCATGATGTTTATTTACATGTTTATTGGATGAAATTATGACTCCACAGTTAGTGGACACACCTCACCTGCACATTTTAAGTATTCGAGTACTTCTACTAGAAAGCACATGCCTGGTTTGAATCGTACCTCACAGGACGATCATTCAGTGTATCTTGGCTTGGACAATCCTCTACCGTGCACCATCTTGCCACAGAAGTTCCCCAGGGCTCTGTACTAGGACCTCTTCTCTTTGCCATATACACCACCTCACTGGGTGAGATCATTCGATCACATGGTTTCTCCTACCACTGCTATGCAGACGACACCCAGCTCAATCTGTCATTTCCACTGGACGACCACACTGTCTCTGCACGAATATCAAACTGTCTCTCTGACATATCAAAATGGATGAAATCCCACCATCTCCAACTCAACCTTTCTAAAACTGATCTACTTGTCAT